ACAAATCCACTTGTTATTGATTTTTAGTTTTGTTTCATTGTGGTCAGAGAAGATAGATACATGATGTAATTTTCCTTTTTTTGAATTTTTCAAGACTTGCTTTGTGGCGTAACATATGGTCTGTCCTTGAGAATGATCCTCATGCTAAGGAGAGTGTATACTCTGTGGCTGTTGGATGAGATGTTCTGTAAATATTTATGAGGTCCCATTTGGTCTATAGTGCAGATTAAATCTGATGTTTTCTTTGTTGATTTTCTGTCTGGATGATCTGTCCAGTGCTGAAAGTGAGGAGTCGAAGTCTCCAGGATTGGGGTCTCTCCCTGTCTTTATTCTAACAATGTCTGCTGTATATATCTGGTTGCTCCAGTGTTGGGTGCATCTGTATTTACAATTGTTATATTCTCTTGCTGAATTGACCCCTTTATCATTACATTATGACCTTTTCTGTGCCTTTTTATAGTTTTTGTCTTGAAATCTGTTTTGTCTGATACAAGTATAACTACTACTGCTCTTTTTTTGTTTTTTAATTGGCATGGAATATCTGTTTTCATCCCCTTGTGTTCTCTATGTATATCTATGTGTACCTTTGTATGTGAAGTGTGTTTCTTGTAGTCAACAGATCATTGGGTTCTGTTTTTTTGTTTGTTTGTTTTTTCGTCCATTCAGCACTCCATGTCTTTGGATTGGGCAGTTTAGTTCATCTGCATTCATTGTTATTTTTAATAAGTAGGGACATACTCCTGCCATTTTGTTATTTTATTTTATTTTATTTTTGTGATTGTTTTGTGGTCTTCTCTTCCTTCTTTCCTTCCTTCCTGCTTCCTTTTAATGAAGATGATTTTCTCTGGTGATAGGTTTTAATTTCTTGCTTTTTAATTTTTGGGTATCTGTCTGTTGTATGTCTTTTGATTTGAGGTTACCATGAGGCTTGCAAATAATATCCTCTAACCCATTATTTTAAACTGATGATAACTTAACAGTGATTGCATTAACAAACTAACAAACAAGCAAAGAAAAAACTAATACAAACTCTACACTTTAACTTAGTCCCCTGCATTTTAACTTTTTGTTGCTTCTATTTATAATCTTACTGCGTCTTGGAAAGTATTGTAGTTGTTATTTTTGATCAGTTCTTTTAATCTGTCTGCCCAAGATATGAATAATTTATACACTGCAATTACAGTGTTACAATACTGTTTTTCAGTGTACTTATCATTACCCTATGGCCACCACCCCTGAAACTGCTGAGTCAGACCTAAGGCTTCAGCCTTAGAACCTTCTTGTGCTTGAATATTGATATCTTTTTCTAGGTTTGGGAAGTTCTGTATTATTACCCTTTGAGTAAACTTTCTACCCCTTTCTCTCCTTCTGCCTGCTCTTTAAGGGTAATAACTCTTAGATACTCTCTTTTGAGGCTATTTTCTAGATCTTATATGCATGTTCCATTCTTTTTAATTCTCTTTTGTCTCCTCCAACTGTATTTTCAAATAACCTGTCTTCAGGCTTACTAATACTATCTTTTGCTTGAACATTTCTGCTGGTAAGAGACCCTGATGCATTCTTTAGTATGTCGGTTGCATTTTTCAACTCCAGAATTTCTGCCCAATTCTTTGTACTTATTTCAATCTTTTGTTAAATTTATCTGATGGGATTCTGAATTCCTTCTTTGTTTTATCTTGAATTTCTTTGATTTTCCTCAAAACAGCTATTTTAAATTCTCTGTCTGAAAGGTCTTATATCTTTGTCTCTCCAGGATTGGTCTGTGGGGCATTATTTAGTTTCTTTGGTGAGGTTATGTTTTCCTGAATGGTCGTGATGCTTGTGGATGTTTGTCGGTGTCTGGGCATTGAAGAGTTAGGTATTTATTGCAGTCATTGCATTCTGGGCTTGTTTGTACCTGTCCTTATTGGGAAGACTTTCCAGGTATTCGAAGGGACTTAGGTGTTGTGATCCAAGTTTTTGGTCACTGTAGCCATATCTGTATTAGGAGGCACCCCAAGCCCAGTAATACTGTGGCTCTTGCAGACTCTTAGAGGTACCATGTTGGTGGTCTTGAGTAAGATCTGGAAGGATTATCTGTATTATAATGCAGAGACTCTTGTTCTCTTCCCTTTCTCCCAAACAAATGGAGTCTCTCTGGGCTGAGCTGCCAGGGAGAGGTGGGGGAGGGATTACACAATCACCCTTGTAGCCACCACCCCTGGCACTGTGCTGGGTCAGACCTGAAGCCAGCACAGCACTGGGTCTCACCCAAGACCTATGGTAACTACTGCTTGGCTACTACCTAGGTTCACTCAAGGCCCTAGGCTCTATAATCAGCAGTTAGTGAAGCCAGCCAGGCTTGTATCCCTCCCTTCAGGGTGGTGAGCTCCCCCTTGTCCCAAGTGGATCCATAGATGCCATCTGGGAGCCAGGGCCTACAGTTGGAAACCTTAGGAATCTACCTGGTGCTCTGTTCTACTGCAGCTTAGTTGGTACCTAAGCCACAAGTCAAAGCCCTTCCCATTCTTCCCTCCTTATTCCACAAGCAGAAGAGTCCCTCCCCATGGCCACCACTGCTCCAGGCCTGCAGCAGATGTCCCCTGGTGACTGCCGATGTTCATTCAAGGCCTCAGGGCTCTTCAGTCAGCTTGTGGTAAATGCTGCCAGGCTTGGGACTCTCCCTTCAGGGCATTGAGCTCCCCTCTGACCCAGAGCAGGTCCAGAAATGCCATCCAAGAACCAGAACCTGGAATTGGGGACCCCAAGAACCTGCTTGGTGCTGTACCCCACTGTGGCCAAGCTGATACATATCACTAAGCTGATTTTTGGTTCTTATGAAGGTGCTTTTCTTTGCAAATGGTTGTTCAATTTGGTGTTCCTGCAGGGAGGACAATTGGTGGAGGCTTCTATTTGGCCACCTTTCTCTGCCTCCCCGTATTTTATTTTTAATTGACACATAATAATTGTACGTGCTTATGGGATGTTCTGGTACGTGTATACAATGTGTACTGATCAAATTAGGGTAATTAGTATATCCATCTCCTCAAACATTTGTCATTTCTCTGTGGTGAGAACATTCAAAATCGTCTCTTGTAGCTACTTTGAAATATGCAGTATGTTATTGTTAACTATAGTCAGCCTACTGCATGGTGGGACCATTTTCACTCTTCAGTGCCGCTTTTGGATAAGCAGAAGGTCTTCATTTCTTGTATTTGATGTAGTCCAGTGTATCTAGTTTTTTCTTTATTGTTAGTGTGGTTTTTAGTGTGGCCTATCGAAAAAGTCTTTGACTAGATTATGAAGATTTTATCTCCTATTAGCTTTTAGAAATGTTATTGTTTTAATCAACTTAGATTATGATACCTGGTATTTGGGCCCTTATTCCTCCCACTGTGTTTTTATATTTTCTGTATATAAAGCTTTTTTGTTTTCATGTATTGCACATGTAAGTTCTATTTATTTCTGACATTTCTTTTCAGACAGAGTAAAGGAGGAAAATAAACTATACTTAATTTGTCTCTTTCATGTGGTTGTTAGGAATCTGGCGTGGATTCAACCCATATAGTTTTATTATCTTGTCTCCTTAGTAAACTGCTTCTACCTCAAAAATTCAAATATTAATTTGAATTACTGTCTTTGTACAAATTTTTAAAAATGATTTTTGAAACAGATTTTCTCCGAGAACTCCTGGGCTCAAGTGATCCTCCCACCTCAGTCTCCCAAGTAACTGGGACTACAGGCTTGTGTCACCACACTCAGCTGATTTTTGTGTTTGAGACAGAGTTTCACCATGTTGCCTAAGCTGATCTCAAACTCCTGAGGCTCAGCCAATCTGCCTGCCTCAGCCTCCCAAAGTGCTGGGATTACAGGCGTGAACCACTACACCTGGCCCATTTTAAAGATAATTGTATCATTTATTTTTTAAATTATAATTTCTAAATAGCACTTCAACATTTAAACATCTTGGCACATTTGCTTTATCTATGTCCATACAAACACACACATACTCTGTATTTTTTGGTCAATGATTTGAAAGAAAGCAGCAGGTGTTTCTTTCTCCTACCTGAACATACTCCAACATGAAAATATCTTGAGTGTGTAAATAAAATTATTTCATTGTTCTCTAGATCTAGAACTAATCTAGCCAGAGACGCATTATCAGGTGCCAAAGACTTAATATTTATTTGTTTATTAAAGAACTACTTTAGAAACCCTGAAATATGGGAGGTAACTAGAATACATTTGAGAGTGGGGCAAGTACAGTAAGTCAGACTGTACTTTGAGTAGTACAGAATTTTTACTGGCCCTTCAGGTTCTTCATCTATTTTCCTTGTCAAATCCTAGGCCACTTTGAATCACAAAATATGAAAATATAATTTTTATTTTAAGCTGGACAATATAAGTATATTAAGTTAGATTCTACATGTTTTAAATTTGTGTGTTTATTAAATACTTATGCCTTAAATGCCTATAAGGTTAAAGCATGTTTTAATGAGTAGACAATTACTAAATATATGAGTTACTACCATTGCAAGGCATGAACATCAGGTAAGTTAAAACTAAGCTTTGTTAGAGTACATGAATTCCTTAAAAACTTAGTTTTCTATGAAAATAGAGTTTGGCTCCATTAAGTTTAAAAATAATTTTATTAAACACTGCAGTGTCTGGCACATATGTACCATTTAATACTTGCCTTAATTGACTAAAAAAGGCTCTCACCTTTAATGTCGTTAGAAGGAGCACTCAATAAGGACTTGGATCTGATTTCTAGCTGAAGCTGAGGCTTCATCTCTTTGGCTACTTGTAAATAAGGAATGTGCACTAGATTATATCCAATTAGCATTGATATTTTTATTCTGTATCTTGTGTTTATTGTGAAAACACTTAATAAATTTTATCGGATCAGGAAACTTAATACATTTAAAAAAACAACACATTTTTTAAAAACTAAATTGTCACACTGAACAAGAAGACTTCTTTCAATGACTACAGACTTGAACTTTTTTCTCACTTGATAGCTCGAATTACATCTTTACAAGAGGAGGTGAAGCATCTCAAACATAATCTTGAAAAAGTGGAAGGAGAAAGAAAAGAGGCTCAAGACATGCTTAATCACTCAGAAAAGGTAATTGATTTAACATATACCAATTATTATAAAATAGTATCACACAGATTGCTTTGGTTTGGAAATACCTTTTTATGAAGTATATTTGCCTATTTTCTTTGTACATGAGTAAGATGAATGTGCTGTGAGGGCCTATGAAGAAGGAAAACAACAGATCAGTACATGGTAGATGATGAGTACCTGTTCTGTTTTGTTACGGTTAGCAAAATAGAAAAGAGCATAAAGTGATTGGCCTTTGCATTTAGAATTTTCTTAACAATAAAAATGTCGTTGGTTATTCTCTGTTATGTACCTTGCTAAGAGTTAGATAGATGATATAGAGATACAGCTGTCACTTTTTCAAAGCCTCTCTGTAATGTTGGAGGTTCATTAGAACCTCAGGCAAATTATCAGAAAAGCCATGACTTACTTATCTTGTCCTTTGGACATGTTTTGTCACAATTAGAATAGTTTTTGATGGCCAAGCTGGTGTAAATATGCACTTAGGATAAAAGAAGGAAGAGTAGAAAAGGGTACTCAAACAGAAATGGAATATATTTTGACTCATTTTTCCTTTCTATGTCAATGACTTGCCACAGGATGCTTTGTGGTTTGTTTTGTTTTGTTTTTGTGAAAGCAAAGTAAATGTGGATATAGATGCAAATGTAGATAAACATCAGTTAGTATATATTTTTTAAGTGGTACCAGGCCAGGCAAGGTGGCTCATGCCTGTAGACCCAACACTTTGGGAGACTGACACAGGAGGATTGCTTGAGCCCAGGAGTTTGAGAATAGCCTGGGCAATGGAGCAAGACCCCATTTCTATAAAAAAAAAAATGCTTAAAAATTAGCCAGGTGTGATGGCACATGCCTGTAATACTAGCCACTCTGGAGGCTAAGGCTGGAGGATAGCTTGAGCCCAGGAGTTCAAGGCTGCAGTGAGCTAAGAAGGTGCCACAGCACTCCAGCCTGGGTGACAGAGTGAGACCTCATCTCTTTAAAAAAAAAAAGAAAAAAAAAAGATGGTATCAAAAATTTTTAAATAAACTGAAAATTTGACTTATTCATTTCTGATCTTAGCAATGAACTGTCCTGAACATAACCACCAGCACAGCTTTGTTCTGCCCTCCGCCATGGTTAATGATTCAAATGGGAAGGGAGGGGGTAAAGAAAAGGTTATCTTTTGCTTTTAATTATATGTGTTTATTGTGATTTTTAAAATAAGGCATCTTATCTCTTCCAGAATATTAAATGTAAGATTTACTAACATGCATGCCTTCTGCACAGTTTATTACATGACTCCTACTCCCATTTTACAGGAAAAGAATAATTTAGAAATAGATTTAAACTACAAACTTAAATCATTACAACAACGGTTAGAACAAGAGGTAAATGAACACAAAGTAACCAAAGCTCGTTTAACTGACAAACATCAATCTATTGAAGAGGCAAAGTCTGTGGCAATGTGTGGTAAGTGTCAGTTTTATTATTTTTACAAAATTGGCTTCAAATAGTGACTACAGAAAATTTGGTTTTGATCAAAATTTTATACTGTATAACTTGTAGAAATTATAATATAAATTACAGGCCTGGCACAGTGGTTCACACCTGTAATCCCATCACTTTGGGAGGCTGAAGCCAGTGGATCACTTGAGGCCAGGAGTTTGAGACCAGCCTGGCCATCATGGTGAAACTCCGTCTCTACTAAAAATAAAAAAAATTAGCCAGGTGTGGTGTCGCACACCTGTAATCCCAGCTACTGGGGAGGCTGAGGTAGGAGAATCGCTTGAACCCAGGAAGCGGAGGTTGCAGTGAGCCGAGATGGCGTCACTGTTCTCCAGCCTGGGCAACAGAGTGAGACTATATCTCAAAGAAAGAAAGAAATTATAAGTTATAATCAAGAAGAGGGTGCCTTCCTTTTGATACTTTCCTTTTTTTTTTTTTTTGAGACAAAGTTTTGCTCTTGTCTTGTCTCCCATGCTGGAGTGCAATGGTGCAGTCTTGGCTCAATGCAATCTCCGCCTCCAGGTTCAAGCAATTCTCCTAATTCTCCTGCCTCAGCCTCCTAAGTAGCTAGGATTACAGGCACCGGACACCATGCCCGGCTAATTTTTGTATTTTTAGTAGAGATGGGTTTCACCATGTTGGCCAGGCTGGTCTCGAACTCCTGACCTCAGGTGATCCACATGCTTCGGCCTCCCAAAGTGCTGGGATTACAGGCATGAGGCACCATGCCTGGCAATGCTTTCCATTTTTTAAGATCACAATTTCACCTCCTTGTTCCCTCAGTTTACTACTCTGTTTCCTATAAAAGTTAGTGGAATCTGTCTTTTCTCTGTTTTTTAGTAGCCCTTTCCTTGATTTTCTTTATGATCCATTCTGGACCTCATTGTCTGTTAATTCATATGCTGTCTTGCTTTGTACCCTCAATTTTCTCATTTCTTTGTACTTCCACTGTGTTATGCCTCCAAACACAACCCTAGTTCAGACCAGCCAGCCACTTTCTTCAAGCAGTTGAGTGTTAGTCCAATGCATTATCTGCAACCTGAGTTGTCAATTTTTTTTTAATTTTTAAAAATTATTTATTTTTGGTAGAGAAAGAGTCTCACTATGTTGTCCAGGCTGGTCTTGAGCACCTGGGCTCAATGGATCCTTCCGCCTTGGCCTCCCAGTGTGCTGGGATTACAGGCATGAGCCACCATGCCCAGCTGTCAATTTCTTTAAACATATCACTCATAAATTTCTTTTCCCAGACTTTTATTTATCTTCTCAAGTTTCCTGTGCCGTTTCTTTATCACTCCAATTTTAGGTGAACTCTATTCTTATTTCACAAATAAATAATGAAAGCATAGGTGTGAACTCCTCAAAATTTAGTTTTCTTGTCAATCTATCCTACTTCTTTACCTGTCTTCATTATCTTCACTATTATCTTAAAGGAGGGTAATCTCCTCTTATCTCATCTTAACTTCTTATCTCTTTTTCTTTTCTATATCCTCGACCTTTTTACCTCCATTATCTTCTTTCTTACTGTAAACATGAACAAGTCTCCATCTTAAAAACAAATAGACAAATCCATGCAGCAATCGGTGATCCTTACTAATTACTACTGTTTTATTTCAGATAAAATAATAAAATAGTCAAATTCAATGGTGTCAGATTCTTTATAGAAAAAAAAATTTTAATATCCAAACTTCTAACAAGTCTTTCTTCACCTTCTACTTATTCTTAACCTACTACAGTCTGGATGTGTTGGCATCTTAAATTATTTTTCCTCAAAAGAAAGCTCATAATCTTATCCATCAAACCTGCTCTTATTCTTTATTCTCACTAACCTAGTTAATGGCCATAGGGTCTTTATGAGATGAGCCAAGGCTTTGGAATCAGACAGATCAGTGTTGCCCTGTAACTATTTTAAGTTAGATGAAAAATGCATGTGAAGTGCCTGTGCATAGAAAGTTTTCAGTAGCTATTATCTTGTTACTGAACATCACATCCTCATTTTGCCAAGAGTTGTTCTATTCATCAATCATTCTCACTTAGGTTAGAACAATTTTCTTTTTTGGTCAAATCATATTTTGTTATCCTTAAAATCCTTTAGTGGCTTTTCATTGTTTGCAGGGTACCTTTCAAACTCCTTGGATATACCGAATCTTTAAGTTGACACCTGTCTGTCTTTGCAATCTTCCTGCTCTACACTTTGTTGTGTGTATCCTGTGCTTTAGCCATATTGAGCTACTTTTATTTCTTTCACTTAATTACTGACTGCCTACTACAGACAAGGCACAGCTGGGAATATCGCAGAGACTAAAACTGACAGGAAGCCCGGAGATTACATTCAGATGGTGAAGATAGACCAAAAAAAAAAAAAAAAAGAATACATAAATGAAAATATGTACAGCTTGTAATTATTAATGGGAAGAAAATACACATTAATATCATTGTTTTGACTTGGCACTGCCCTAGATGGGGGTTCTGAGGAAAGGCTCTCTGAGCTCATAATATTTGAGGTAAGAACTGAAAGTCAAAATGAACCACCTGTTAAAGGAGCTGGAGAAAATACATTCCAGGCAGAAGTGATAGTAAGTTCAGTATTGTTATTCTAAGATTTGTATGAAGGCACTAGCACATTTTAAGCTTCTGGGATGTGTAATTTATGTTTTTAAAATATCATTTCTGCTGCTTTGTGGGGAATGCTTTCAAGAGTGAGAACAGTGATAAAAAGGGAGATCAGTTAGAAGGCTATAGGCTGTAAACACTGGTAGTAGTAGAGCGGCAAAGAAGTTGAGGTATAGAGGACAAGAGTTGGTGATGAATTGGATAGAAGGAGGCCAGGTGCGGGGACTCACACCTGTAATCCTAGCACTTTGGGAGGCCGAGGCAGGCAGATCATTTGAGGCCAGGAGTTCGAGACCAGCCTGGGCAACATGGTGAAACCCCGCCTCTACTAAAAAATACCAAAATTAGCTGCGTGTAGTGATGCGCACCTGTAATCTCAGCTACTCAGGAGGCTGAGGCAGAAGAATTGCTAGAACCCAGGTGGCGGAAGTTGCAGTGAGCTGAGATTGCACCAGTGTACTTTGTCCTGGGTGACACAGCAAGACACCGTCGCAAAAAAAAAAAAAAAAAAAACGAAAGACTGAGACTAACTGGGGTTGGAGTGGTTTGGGGATAGGCCAGAAGTAAAGGCATCTATTGTGGATATGTTAACTTTAATAAGATTATTCGATATCTAGGTGGAGATGTTAAATAGTCAATTGGTATCTAAGTCTGGCGCTCAGGAGAGAGATATCAAGAGTCAGAAGAACATAGTGGATGGATTTGTGTTTGATTAAACAGAAGGGTCTTAAGAGGTGACAATTTAGTGGTGCAGCTAAGTTGTAGGTTTGGGGGGAAAGATAAGTAATAGTTTATTTATATTTATTTAATAGTTTATATTTTGTCACCTAGAGGGTGGTCTTCGAGAGTGGGAAAGCAGACTTCAAATAAACTAGAATCCTGATGGGGCAACTTACTAGTTGCGTGAACATGGAAAAGTTAACCTCTCAGAAGCTTAGTTATATTTCAGAAAAGGAGCCTCAGTGTAGACTAATATATTCCAGTAATAATTAAAAGAGGTATTATACTACTGTGGAATCTTATTCATCTGAATTGTATAAATTGGAGTTCCTACCATAGCCTTAAGCCTCCTGAACCTTTTCTGGAACAATGCAGGGTATAAATTAATAACCACAGCCTTATTTTTCTGCTTTTACTTGATGTACCTTCATTGTTCTTCTTTGTTGATTCACTTTCTTTCTAGCTATACTCTTCACCTTCTAGTCTGAAAGTGGTACTGATTAATCTCTCATCACTGGGCAAGAGCTGGGTTTAGAAGATTTTATTGCTGTATTATATTTTATAACTCCTTTTCTTTAGAGATTTCTACTATATAAACAGTTTACACAACATGAGAATTTCTATAATTAATAGCTCTATTCAAGTCCCAGGATAAAAACAATAGAGATGTTTGAAACCAAATTACAGCCCATATAAAGTGAAATATATTAAAGTACTCTTTCTTTAAATGTTTGTAACTTTTTGCTTTCCCAGAGATGGAAAAAAAGCTGAAAGAAGAAAGAGAAGCTCGAGAGAAGGCTGAAAATCGGGTTGTTCAGATTGAGAAACAGTGTTCCATGCTAGACGTTGATCTGAAGCAATCTCAGCAGAAACTAGAACATTTGACTGGAAATAAAGAAAGGATGGAGGATGAAGTAAGAAAAATAGTACTGACTTTGTTCATCTATTAAAAGAGAAACGATTATATAAGTTATGACTGAAGAGTTATCTATAATTTAAACACCGTGAAGGAGATTTGAATGAAATGATTGACATGGGTCTATGTTCACTGCTATATGGTTACCCCAGCACCTAGAATTTTCCTCTTCAAATAGTTATTGAATATTCACTCTGTGTAATCTATGCCATTTTCCACTATGACAGTACAACTGTATTGAAATGTCATAGTTTCTTCCCTGAAAAAACTGACCATCTGCTTTAAAGAAAAAAAAAAGTCTTTATTATAATGCATCTTATATCCCCAAAGAAAGCATTGCTCTTAGATTTCAATAAAAGTGTTTAACTGTAGTCTTTCCTGGCTTAGATTGATAGCATGGGGTATACATTTTATAAAGCAGTTAATAAAAAGATAAAATGACAACATGTCCTGGTGGTTACTATATGTACTTTAGAAATTATTTCTAAGACCGAAAGTAGGAAAGCCTTCTCAAGAAGATATAACATGTTACCTAGATTTTAAAGGTTGAGTAAGACTTCAAAAGGTAATAGTTTTAGAGTCAGAGTTTTATTTGCTAGAGGGAATATTATCAGTAAAGATATGGATAATAAAATGAGTACCGGGTGGATAAGAAGATGGGTAAGTAAAGCATAAAAAGGAACTTGATAGAACTTTTAACTTTTTGAAGAAAAGAAGAAGACATGTTGAGTGGTCATGGGAGAAATTTGGAGGCCAAAATATCAATACTCTTTAAAACTTGCATGGGTGGCCAGACACATTGGCTTACACCTGTAATCCCAGCACTTTGGGAGGCTGAGGTGGGCAGATCGGCAGATTGCTTGAGCCCAGGAGTTTGAAACCAGCCTAGGCAACATGGTGAAACCCCATCTCAAATACCAAAATCAGCTATGTGTGGTGGCGTATGCCTATAGTTCCAGCTACTCAGGAGGCTGAGGTGGGAGGATTGCTTGCACCTCAGGAGATTGAGGCTGCAGTGAGCCGAGAGTGAGACCCTATCTCTAAAAAATAAAACTTGCATGGGAGCTATCGGTGAAAGCACTTCTAGAAAAATCAATTTAGTAGTGGTATATAGAATGGTTTAGAAAGAAGAGAAACTAGAGGTACCTATTAAAGTTAGCACGCAGGAGGAATGTACAAAATTTGAAAGATAATATTCAGTCATTTAAAAAACATAATTTTTGACTACCTACTATTTGGCTCTGTGCTAGGAGTTGGGGGTTACTGAAGTGAGTAAGATATAGGTATGGTCCTGACTTTGTTGGAAGTTACAGCCAGGAGGGAAAAACAGATATTAAAATAGTAACTACTGGCCAGGCGCAGTGGCTCACGCCTGTAATCCCAGCACTTTGGAAGGCCGAGGTGGGTGGATCATGAGGTCAGGAGATCGAGACCACCCTGGATAACATGGTGAAACCCCGTCTCCACTAAAAATACAAAAAATTAGCCGGGCGTGGTGGCAGGCACCTGTAGTCCCAGCTACTCGGGAGGCTGAGGCCGGAGAATGGCGTGAACCCGGGAGGCGGAGCTTGCAGTGAGCCAAGATCACACCACTGCACTCCAGCCTGGGCTACATACAGATTGAGACTCAGTATCAAAAAAAAAAAAAAAATAGTAACTACAAGCATTGCAAATAATTAAAAAGAAAGTACCGAATGCTATAGGGGTGTATTACTAATCACATTTGGGAATTACAGAAGGCCTTGCTAAGAGTATGACATTTGAGAGCTGAAGAATGAATAAATGAAGGAGGATAAAACAGAAGGAGTAGTGTGTACAAGAACTGTGAGATGAGGGAGAATTTCTTGCATTTGAGGATCTGAAGAATATGATTGGATTGTAGAGAATGGCCAATGATAGGAATAGAGTTAGAACAGATCATGAAGGCCGTTGTAAACCACTGTAGGAATTTTGAGTTCATTGGTCCGAACACCTAATAAACACTTCAAAAATATTTGTTGAGTTGAATGAAATATACGTTCAGTTTGTTTTGTTAAGCTTTCAAGGGTTGTAGAGTAGAGCACATAAACAGGTAAATTTAAGTATTCCATTCAAATGTTCCCCCAGAAATGGTTTTTTTGTTTTGTTTTGTTTTGTTTTGTTTTGAGACGGAGTCTCACTGTCACTCAAGCTGGAGTGCAATGGCATGATCTTGGCTCACTGCAGCCTCTGCCTCCCAGGCTCAGGTGATCCTCTCACGTAGCTGGGACTACAGGAGTGTACCACCATGCATGGCCAATTTTGTATTTTTTTGTAGAGCGAGGGTTTCACCATGTTGACCAGGCTGGTCTCAAACTCTGGGTTCAAGCACTCCACCTGCCTCAGCCTCCCAAAGTGCTGGGATGACAGATGTGAACCACTGTGCCTGGCCCAGAAATGAGTTTTATAATCACCTTGTACTCCAACATTTTCATGATGATTGGGTCTGAAAGGAACCAGAATTTTTTTCCCTCCACAACATCTCATGTCTGAAATTTGAGAATTAATTTGACTTTATAGTAAATCTACAATAATAAACACATGGAACAATGAAGACTCTTTAAAATACTAATATTTTCTACTAGTACCATGAATTATAATATACTTGATTTGGTTAGTATTCTTTCAAATAATGTCTAATAAATTATTTAAGAGATTTAAGATCCCAATTATTTTTCTCATTCATAGGTTAAGAATCTAACCCTGCTACTGGAGCAGGAATCAAATAAGCGGCTGTTGTTACAAAATGAATTGAAGACTCAAGCATTTGAGGCAGACAATTTAAAAGGTTTAGAAAAGCAGATGAAACAGGAAATAAATACTTTATTGGAAGCAAAGAGATTATTAGAATTTGAGTTAGCTCAGCTTACGAAGTAAGTCTTTAAAATAACATTGTAATTTCTTTCTTTTTTGTGCTCATCATTGACTTGTGTGTTTGATATTTTACATATGTACAGATTATGTACTTAGAGTTTGTGAAAGACTGTGAAAAAGTATTTAGAAGTAAAAGAATTTACTTGCAAAAGTTTTCAAGGGAGTTCAGGCTTTGGAAAGACCACAGTTTTCTCATCTGATTTTCATGTCCACAAAAGTCATCACATTTCTTCAGGTTAGAATTACAAAAATCACAGTGCCTTGTAGGAGATGTTCAGAGGCTAGAATTAGACATGACACACTGTTTTGTTTTGTGTCTTTGGTTCATCTCAAAATGCAAAAATGTCTTTTTTGTTTTTCTGTTACTCTTGGGATGTGATATGCCTGCTTACTTGAAATAGAGAACAAGCAAGATATCAGGATTGCTTTCACAATTTGCCTAAGAATATGCATCACAAGTTTAATATCAAAAGTGGATATATCTTATGCCAAGTCCTGTGTTTTTATTTCCTCCGAATTTATTTTATTATATCATCACTTGCTAGCTTCATTTACAGAGGTGATTCTTGGATTAAATTTTCAGTTTTCATAAAATTGGGTTTATATTGGTGAAATTCTTTTCCTCTTTTAGGGCCACCATTTTCACAAAAATGTGTTTTATATTTTTTTCCTCCAAAAATACTCTCACTCAGCATTCAGTAGAGATTGGTGTGGACTTTCTGTCAACCACATGCCTTTTTAGATACTGAGAATACAAAGCTATTACTGTCTACTATAAAAGTCTAGCAGCTAGATTTTCAAGCCTAGCTGCTAGACTTTCATAGTAGACAGTAAATAATTGTTGAAAATCTGTGTCTTCGGGTTACGTTGTGTTTCCATCTTTTGGACCCTGCTCCTTTGTGAGTTTTGTTTATGTATATATTATATACATGCAGTTGTCTGTCTATGTTCCTCCTTTGTCAGTTTGTTGTTCTTGCTTTCCCTTCTTACCTGATGATTCATTTCCACAGCCCCTTTTTTGTGCTTAATTGGCCATAATGTCTAGTATGTAATACTGAATTATTACTTATTAAATATAGTACTATGATATATAGCACTGAACTATTACTAAATTTTTCATGCCCCCCTTTTTTTTTACTTACTGTACAAGACATTTTCTTCCCTATTACTGCTTTTCTCTGTAAAAATTTAGCAAAAATATGGTATCAATTTTATTTTTTCATTTTGGATAGATCCACAATTAATATTCTCCAAAAAGTGATCATCAGTAGAAAAGGGCTCTCACGACTTTTGTATAGCATCATTTTATAAGGAGCAAGATAGAACCAGTGTGGCCTGACCACGTTAATCAGTAAAATAATAATGAAGTATGTTTTTTAAAAATAAAGATTGTTTTAGTAAACCTTTTTTATATTAGCAACTTTAACTAAGAATAAATAAAGTCTAGTATAAGTAGGAGCGTTTGTTCACTTGTTTTTCTTTTCATCTGAAGACAGTATAGAGGGAATGAAGGACAGATGCGGGAGCTGCAAGATCAGCTTGAAGCTGAACAATATTTCTCGGTAAGTGAGAATCATTTTTAACATATGCGCTGTTTCAAAACCTGACTTACAACAAGGTATTAGATTCTTTTATTTGAACTTTTTCTTTTTAAAATTATTTTTCAAATGACTCTTCATCTTCTAATAAACATTGTGATTTTCTTCTTTTTGTTTGTCCATTTGTTTCTTGGCATATTAGGCTATCATTGGTGTATGTTTTTAAATCATAAAAACTTTTCAGGCCAGGCGCGGTGGCTCACACCTGTCATTCCAGCACTTTGGGAGGCCGAGGCGGGTGGATCACTTGAGATCAGGAGTTCGAGACCAGACTGGCCAACATGGTGAAACCCTATCTCTACTAAAAATACAAAAATTAGCTGGTTGTGGTGGCAGGCACCTGTAGTCCCAGCTACTCAGGAGGCTGAGGCAGAAGAATCACTTGAGCCTGGTAGTTGGACATTATAGTAAGCCGAGGTCATCTGTGCTCCAGCCTGGGCGACAGCAAGACTCTGTCTCATAAACAAAATGAAAAACTTTTAAATATTATTGAAAACTCTTGCCCTGGGTATTTGCTAAATGTAATTATTCAAAGTATCTACTGCTAACTTCTGCAAAGTGATCTGTAGCATCCCATACACTTTCTTGCCATATGCTTCCACAGAGCAATCATCCAGTGCCTCCAGATGTTTGCATGGATGTCAAATGACTTGAGGTGATTCCTGTGGATTCTTCATTTTGCTTCTAGAAAATAGTACAAAACCTGACCCTGTCTCAGTTCTGATTTATTGCATTGCTTGTGGGCATTGGATTAAACAGCATTCAATTCAATAAGCTGTTATGAACCAATTTTTAAGATTTGTTTTTATTCTGGGTTTTCAAATCAGATTATTTTTCTTTTTATCCCTTCATTGATTTACTTACTTGAATTTCATTATTTGAAGTCAGAGAGATAAGTATCTAAGTCCCAAAGGCCAAATAGATTACTTAATTTTAGGAATTCTAAATACTTAACCTAGAGTAAGCCCTTATTCTTCTTTCATTTGCATTCCCATAGACATTTATGTATTTTTTTGCCTAGAAAAGTGCTGTTTCTTAATGTAATAAGTAAGTGTTAAAGTAGTTCTCCACAGCTGTTTGCTGGCCCTTGCTATTTTTTTCCCTTCTCTTTTTCTTTCAAAATGAAGAGGGTAGTTAAAAAGAAATAGATATCAGAACTGGAAGTTCACTCTGTAACTTCAGCAACTAACACAAAATGAGTCTCATGTGTTAAATATTTTTCGCTGGAGTTGGCAAAAGCTCAGTGAATTTTTTAAGAACGATTGTTCTGAAATAAGCATATATTATAGATATGTTAGCAGAATACTTGATAAATCTTATTTGTGGACATTTCTTTTTTTTTTGAGATAGAGTCTTGCCCTCTCGCCCAGGCTAGAGTGCAGTGGCGCAATCTCAGCTCACTGCAAACTCTGCCTCCTGGTTTCACACCATTCTCCTACCTCAGCCTCCCGAGTAGCTGGGACTACAGGTGCCCGCCACCACACCTGGCTAATTTTTGTATTTTTAGTAGACACGAGGTTTCACCATGTTAGCCAGGATGGTCTCGATCTCCTGACCCCGTGATCCGCCCACCTCGGCCTCCCAAAGTGCTGGGATTACAGGCGTGAGCCACTGCACCCAGCCCTTTTGTGGATATTTTTTTACCTGTCTCCCAACTGCCCAGTACATCCCACCCACCAAAACAGAAGTGATTTTTTTCTAACATTAGTCAAGAATTGATCTAACATTTAAATTAGTAGTGTGTGTTAAATTTCTTTATAATGTCTTCCCAAATCTATAATACACTTTATTAAGCTATAATGTCTTTTTTTTTTTTTTTTTGAGATGGAGTCTCACTCTCACCCAGGCTAGAGAGCAGTGGCACAATCTTGGCTCACTGCAACCTCCCGCTCCCGGGTTCAAGTCTCCCGAAGAGCTGTGATTACAGGAGCGTGCCACCACGCCCAGCTAATTTTTTGTATTTTTAGTAGAAACGGGGTTTCACTGTGTTAGCCAGGATGGTCTCAATCTCCTGACCTCATGATCTGCCCGCCTCAGCCTCCCAAAGTGCTGGGATTACAGGCGTGAGCCACCACACCCGGCCATTAAGCCATAATTTCTATATAATATACCCATTTTAAGTGTACTGGTTAGTAAGTTTTGACAAATATATACAACTGTGTGACCACAGCCACAATCAATATGTGGAATATTTTTTTTCACTGCAAAAAGTTCCCTTGTGGCCCTTCACTCTACATTTTTCCCAACCACCTCTATACACAGACAATGACTGATTGTTTTCTGTCATTATTGATTATTTTCACCTGTTCTAGAATTTAATATACATGGAGTCACACAGTATATGCTTTTTGACACGTGGTTTCTTTCACTCAGCGTATTTTTTAGATTTCTTAGTTTTACGTGTTGTATCAGTAGTTAATTCCTTTTTATTGCTAAGTAATATGAATTAACCAGTTTTTTTTTTTAACCCATGTATTGATGGATATCTGGTTCATTTCCACTTTGGAGTTGTTATAAATAAAACCATAAGGAAAATTCATGTGTAAGACTAGGTGTTGATATATATTTGCATTTGTCATGGGTAAATACTTGAGAGGAATTGTTGGATCATATGTTAATTTTTTAAATTTATAAGAAACTGCCAAATTGTTGTTAACCCAGCATAAACACTTACTTCTTCTTGTCACTTGTTTTGCAGACACTTTATAAAACCCAGGTAAAGGAACTTAAAGAAGAAATTGAAGAAAAAAACAGAGAAAATTTAAAGAAAATACAGGAACTACAAAATGAAAAGTATGTCCATTTTGCTTTAGAACAAGAATTAGTACTGCAACAGGCATTCTTAAGTTTTAAAATAGTGAATAGATGTGCCATTATTCTGGTGGGAATGGTATAGAACACAATTTATTGGGCTAATTCAGAACAAATCAGATTAGGCTAAATTTGCCTTTATGGTGAAAAAACAATGCTATAAATCAACACTGTAGCAATTGCAGAGATCCATTAAACTGACAAAAAGTTGTTTGACAGTTGTTTTCAGGGGTATCTCAATTTTTATTTTTTTAATTTATTTTTATTTGAGACGGAGTCTTGCTCTGTCACCCAGGCTGGACTGCAGTGGCGTGATCTCGGCTCACTGCAGCTTCCGCCTCCTGAGTTCAAGCGATTCTCCTGCCTCAGCCTCCTGAGTAGCTGAGATTGCAGGCGTGCACCACTACGCTCGGCTAATTTTTGTATTTTTAGTAGAGACAGGGTTTTACCATGTTGGTCAGGTTGGTCTCAAACTCAAATTCGTGACCTCGTGTTCCGCCCACCTCGGCCTCCCAAAGTGCTGGGATTACAGGCATGAGCCACCACGCCTGGGCTAGTATCTCAATTTTAAAAGATCTATTTATATATAAATCATGCTGTTTTTGCAAATCATTATTTTAAGTTAGATAAAGGTACTTAAGGTCTTCTTAGGATTACTATGCAAGTTATGGCCGGGCATGGTGGCTCACGCCTGTAATACCAGCATTTTGGGAGGCTGAGGTGAGAGGATCACTTGAGCCCAGGAGTTGCCCAAGACCAACCTGGGCAACATAATGAGATCCCATCTCTAAAAATAATAATAATAAAGTATTATTATGCAGGTTAATTTTCATTACATGTGTATGTTTAGGGTCTTAAAAGGAGAAAACCTTATAAAGCTATTTCAAGTGTAACAGCTTCATTTTAGAATTCAGCTGATAGGTCCAACAAGATACTAACTCATGGGGAGTATCTCATAGCTAGGTAATGTCAGAACATACACTAGAACTAGTTTTCCAACACTGTTATATTCTCTTTACATTTAATCACCTTTGAAAGACTGTTTGTTGTTGAAACAAACAATTACAGAAAACAGCAAAACTAATAGTTTTTATGAATTATGACAAATGTCATCATAACATCATCATCCATGAAAGAGAACCTTGCTATCCACTTCAGAAGCCCACTATATCCCACCTCCTAATTATGCCTTCTTTCCTCCCCATCTCAAGAGTAATCACCATCCTGATACGAATTTGTCGAAGAAACTGGAATTTTTTGTCCTGTAGAGGTTCCCTCAGTTGCAATTTTATTGATTCAATTTCTGTAGTTGGTTGAACATTCCCCATTTCCCTTATGTTTCCTGGAAGTCAGTAGTTATATCTAGAGCTCCTCTGCCCAATGTGGTGGCCAGTAGCCACATATAGTTACTTAAATTTAAATTCAGTTACGTAAAATTAAAACTTAGTTCCTCAGATGTACTAGTCGTATTTCAGGTGCTCAGTAGTCACATGCGGTTAGTGTCTACCATATTATAATAGATAGTACAGATACAGAACATTTCTGACATCCTAGAAAGTTTTATTGGACATTTCTGATTTGGAAGCTTAATCAGATTCAAATCTGATTTTTAGGAGAAAGAAGACTAATTAATATATAACCTTGTACTTTCTGGTTTCCCTGTTTCTGTTAACCACTGCGGTACTCAACGTTAGATCCTTAATACATTAGGTGTTGCAAACTGGAGATACTCACTTTTATCATTCTTCATTTTTTTTGTTGTTGGAATACATAACCTTTATTTTTACTAGTTTTATAAATAAACTTAGACTTTTCGTTGTTTAGCTTTGTTGACTTGATTATAAATTAAGTATAATTGCATCTTTTTGCAATTAAGTTGCCTTAATCGAGTTGATTAAGTTGATTAAAATATTTGAGGTCCAGAATTGACATTAGTTTGTTGCCGATCTGTAAATTACTATAAATTTTAGCATCACAGCAGGTATCAACATACTAATTTGGTGGCCAAGTATCATAGTTAGATAACCTAGTTAACTGAAAGCTAAGGTAGACACAAAGCTGCATTTCCTGGTTATTCTCTGATACAGTCATACTGTAGAGTCTGGTCTGTTACCTACTCTACCATTTGTATGGTATTCACAGTGCAATATGCAATCCCAGATGTATGCATTCACTGTGAAGGGCATAGTATAGGCAGAAACCAATCTGTGATCTGAGGAACAGAAAGAGAAAGTAATTAAAAGTGCCAAATATTCACTCCATAGTATATTGTTTCAGAGTTGATATATTTTCCTTTTTTCATCTGTTCATCTATTTAAGACAAATACATGGATCACCACTATTGTGCTATAATTACTGTGCTTTATGCAGCTATCCAATTATTATTAAGTTACGATTCTTCAAGTGCTTCAGAATCGAGTTAGGAGAGATATAATCAAGGTACAGTGGCTGTGCCAAAGGATATCTCACCTTACCATGTGGGATTCAGAGAACATTTCCCAACAGAGATCACAACTGAGGGAAAGTAGAATTAGCCAGGGAATGGGATGTGGGGAACAAGGGACAGTATAGGCAGAAGCCAATCTGTGATTTGAGGAACAGCAAATGGTTAGTTCGTGACAGATAAGGCTGGAGAGATAAAACTGAGTCAGATTACAAAGGACCTTGTGTATCATGCTGAAGAGTTTAAAATATTGAAAAGTAGGGACTTTTGTTTCTTCCATTGTTGTCTATTTATTCCCAGCACTTCAATCAGGGACTTTTAGAGTAAGTATTCAAGAAATACTGAATGAATAAATGAAAATTCTAAGCTAGTGACTGACAAGTATTTTAGAAAACTCACTCTAAGGAGTGGAGAATGAATTGAAGTAAGAGAAAGCTGCATAGATACAGGGAGCCCAGTTATAGAACCACTGGAAAAACTTAGATGTAAAATTATAGTGGAAGTTGGCCGTAAGAGGCAGGTGCATAAAACGAAGTAGGAAGTAAAAGAAGTAGGATTTGTAGATTTGGAGGCATAGGGGTAAATGTTAGGAAAATTTTCAGGCTGACTCTCAAGTTTCTGACCAGGGCTGTTGAGTTGATGGTAGTGCTGGTCCCTGAGCTAAGGGATGCCAAAATTGTGAGACGAGGGGAGAGAAGATTATTTCAATTTCAGGCCTGTTGAGTTTGAGGTGCCTATGGGATGTCCAGACAGAAACGGATACCACGGTATTTGGGTTTATTTATTTAGAATGCAGATAAAAGATAAGAACTTGAAGCTGATTTGATAGTCTTTGCATATAGAAACCACTAATATAGAGATCTGTTAAGGTGATTATGTATCTCAGAGTTTATAAACTCATGAGCCTGTGATGCCATTGGTATAATTAGGCTGTAATTAGTGGGGTCTAAGTGCAGATATATTCATTGCGTAAGTTGTAAGGATTATAACAAACTGAAGATCTCACCTCCTCAGTTCCAGCCATTTATTACCACATGATAACACTGGCCCAGTATGTCAAGATCTTCTGGTTTTTCAAGAGAAACCAAGAATCTGAATTTTTATGTAAAAGATTGACCCAAAACTATTTTAGGTGTGTGTTTGTGTGTGTGTGTCTGGAGGGAAGTGGGGGGCACTGTTGTGGACTCATTTTGTCCTCCCAGGTAGCAAGTTGTAACCCATAGTGTAGGATCAGAAGACATAAGGGCTGAGGAAAGACTACTAGCTCCTAGACTTTTAAGGAATGGGCAGAGGAAGGGAAACTTAAGAACCTACCAACAGTATAAGAGAAAATCAGAGCAGGGTGTCACAAAAGCTGGACTAAGAGAATATTTCAAAAAAGAGAAAGTGATGAAAAGTGCCACATATTGGCTGGGCACGGTGGCTCACATCTGTAATCCCAGCACTTTGGAAGGCCAAGGCAGGCAGATCACGGTGTCAGAAGATTGAGACCATCCTGGTTAACATGGTGAAACCCCGTCTCTACTAAAAACACAAAAAAATTAGCCGGGCATGGTGGCGGGTGCCTGTAGTCCCAGCTACTCGGGCGGCTGAGGCAGGAGAATGGCGTGAACCTGGGAGGTGGAGTTTGCGGGGAGCCTAGATGGCGCCACTGCACTCCAGCCTGGGCAACAGGGTGAGACTCTGTCTCAAAAATATAAATAAATAAAAATTAAACTTTAAAAAGTGTCACATATCCAGAAAGGTCAAGAAAAACAGTCATAAATTGTCCATTGTACTTACATTGAAAGTTATTCATTATCTTGGTGAGAACAGCTTCTAAATAGAGACGAGAATAGATATTAAAGTAGATTGAGACTGAATGGAAAGGGTAGAACAAGAGACAGAGTATACCTAACAGCCTGATTAGCCTTCTTTCTATTCAACACACCAATTAGTCACTCTCCTACCTCCAGGTATGTACATTGCTCTTCTGTCTTCCTGGAACAGTTTCCTCCAAGTATCTACATGACTTGCTCCTTGGCCCTCTCCAGGTCCACATCATTTGAGAAGGCCTTCCCTGAATATGCTTTTTAAATCGCATACATCCCCACCCCACTACCTTGGTGCCCAGTTCATACATCCTTCCCTATTTTATTTTTCTCTGTAGCACTTATTCCCTCCTAATATATAATTTTCTTACTTGGCGTATTTATTGTTTTTGTTTTTCCACTAGAAACAAAGCACTATGGCAGAAGGAATTTTCAGATGTTTCATTCTTAGGTCCAATTCATTGCTGTATGTCTAGCACCTACAATTGTAACGGCAGCATTGTGATGCTCAGCAAATATTTGTTAAATTAAAAAATTCAGGAGACTTGGCTGTTATGGCAAGAAGAAGTAGCAGTAGCTAGAGGAGAATGTGAAGGAGAGCGCTTCCTAACAGTAGCGTAAACTTGAGCATATTTAAATGGACTATGGGAAGGAAATCAGAGTAGGAGCAGCCCCACATCTCTTCATTCAAATAAAATTTTTGAGTGCACTCTGTGGGCCAGAGAATTTTCTAGGCATTTGAAATACACTTGTGAACAAGAACAAAGCCACTCTTTATAATCTTATAATCCAGAAGAATATGGAATGATTGATGATTGAATTCTTTTAAGAGATAGGAGAATAAGGGTGAGAGATTGACTTTAAATATTAGTAAAGACAGTCTTTCATTATGGAGAGAAATATATTCTGGGTTAAATAGGTTTTCTGGTGTTTTAAAGTATAACCCAGATACTTTTATCTGAACTTAACACAAAGCAGAAACTCCAGATAAGAACATGTCGTGAACCTGAAGCCCTGTATTATAATAGCTGGCAGAACCACTCCCAGTATTCTTAGATTTGGCATTGGCAGCATTTCCTTTCTTTTCCTAAAGTACTAACTCTACTACTCTCCTAAGAAAAGTATTTCACATCTCGTCTCTGCTCAGATCGCCACCTTTTCCTTATTCTTCTACTTAGCTAATGGCCTTGCTTCCTAAAAATCAGAAGAGAACATCTATTCTCTTTCACCACCGTAACTACTAACTTGTCTACATCAGAGTAGAGTATCACAAAAGCTGGGGGAGGAGAGTATTTCAAGAAAGAGAAAGTGATTAAAAGTGCCAAATATTGCTGGGTGTGGTGGCTCATGCCTGTAATCCCAGCACTTTGGAAGGCTGAGGGGGGCAGATCACAAGGTCAGGAGATCGAGACCATCCTGGCTAACATGGAGAAACCCTGTCTCTACTAAAAATACAAAAAATTAGCCGGGCCTGGTGGCGGGCGCCTGTAGTCCCAGCTACTTGGGAGGCTGAGGCAGGAGAATGGCGCGAACCTGGGAGGCGGAGCTTGCAGTGAGCCGAGATCAGGCCACTGCACTTCAGCCTGGGCGAAAGAGTGAGACTCCATCTCAAAAAAAAAAAGTGCCAAATATTCAGAAAGGTCACCAAAAAGTCATAAATTGTCCATTGTATTTATTTTGAAGGTTACTCATTATCTTGGTGAGAACAGCTTCTAAGTAGAGAATAGTACCTATAAACCCTGCCTTCCTTCTGATGATGTAAATGGACAAGAGCATTAGTTCTTATGTAATGGCTAATCCCATCTCTTCCTGCCTACTTAAGAGTATGACTTTGGCCGAGTTTGGTGGCTCATGCCCGTAATCTCAGCAATTTGGGAGGCCCAGGCGGGCGGATCACTTGGATTAAGAGTTCGCTACTAGCCTGGCTAACGTGGTGAAACCCCGTCTCTACTAAAAATTCAAAAATTAGCCAGACGTGGTCGCACATGCCCGTAGTCCCAGCTACTTGGGATGCTGAGGCAGGAGAATCACTTGAACCTGGGAGGGGAAGGTTGCAGTGTGGCGAGATCTCGCCATTGCACTTCAGCCTGGGTGACAGACTGAGTCTCAAAAAAAAAAAAAAAAAAGAATATTATGACTCTAACAATTCTCTTATCTTTTCTACAACAATTTTTACCTTTCTGTAGTCCTTGTCATTGTTATGTAAACATATTTAGATATCTCCTTTAAAAACAACCCTCTTACACCGGGCATGGTGGCTCACGCCTATAATCCTAGCACTTTGGGAGGCCAAGGTGGGCAGATCCCCTGAGGTCAGGAGTTCAAGACCAGCCTGACCAACATGGAGAAACCTCATATGTACTAAAAATACAAAATTAGCCGGGCATGGTGGCGCATGCTTGTAATCCCAGCTACTCGGAAGACTGAGGCAGGGGAATTGTTTGAACCTAGGAGGTGGCGTTTGCAGTGAGCCAAGATTGCACCATTGCACTCCAGCCTGGGCAACAAGAGCAAAACTGCGTCTTTTAACTACATTATCTACATGGTAGCTACCATCCCACTTTTCTTTTTTTTATAGCCAGCTTACTTGAAAAGTAACACATCAGGTACCTTCCCCCATCTTCTTCCATTCTCTCTCGAGCTCACTGTAGTCATACTTTTGCATTCATCATGCTAACAAAACAACTCTTCTCAAGGTCAGTGGCATCTTCCTAATAGTGACTTCTCAGTTCTCACCTTATTTCATAGCAGCATTTGACTTAGTTGATTACTCTCTTGAGAAAATGTCTTCTTTTGACTTCTGTGACACCATACGCTGTTTTTTCCTTATTGAACTGGCTACTCTTTCTCAACCTCCTTTGTTCCTTTTTCCCTTCTAATTGCTGAGACCCTTAAGAGTTTGGAGTGCTCAAGGGATTACTCCCTGCTTGTTCTCATCCAGCCTTGTGGCTTTAAATGGTGTCAGAGTCCAAGTACATTCTCCCTTGAATTCCAGACTTATGTATTCAGCTGTCTCATTGACATCTCTGCTTGAGTGTTAAGCACCCCACATTTAAAGTGTCCAGAAAAAATTCCTGATTCCCTCACTGTGCAAACTGCTCCTCCCTATCTTCCTCATTTCAGTCCTGAACAACTCTATTATTCCCAGGTGTTTAAGTGAAAAATTTAGAGTCATCCTAGACTCTTCTTTTTTTCTTGCACTTTAAATGCAATCCACCAACAAATTTTCCCAGTGTTCACTAAAAATTATATATAGACTCTAATCACTTCTCACTACTTTTTCCATTTACTGACCTGGTCCAAACTGCCATCATCTCCAATCTTGATTATTTCAGTAGCCTGCTAACTGGTATCTCAACTTCTGCCATTGTCCCCCTACTGTCTGATCTTAATACAGCAGCCAGAATGATCTTTCTAAAACATCAGAGTACCAGAATAAAAGTCAAAGTCCTTGTAATGCCTTGGAAAGCCTTACAATATCTGTTGTTCTCTTCTCCCTACTTTTCTTCTAATGTCGTCTTAGCAGAGAGGCCTCCTTGATCACCCTGTAATAAAAGTGATCACATTCGTAACTTTCCATATTTTATCTTGTATTATTCTCTGTGACTTACTATAGAGCACTTGTTCATTTTTTAAATTGCCTGTACGGCCCCACTAATACGTGCTCCCTAAGCGCAGGAACTTTGTTACTGCTGTATTTATTTATTTATTTTTGAGACGGAGTCTCGCACTGTCACCTCAGCCTCCCGAGTAGCTGGGATTACAGGCACACACCACCACACCAGGCTAATTTTTTTGTATTTTTAGTAGAGATGAGGTTTCACTGTGTTGGCCAGACTAGTCTCGAACTCCTGACCTCATGATCCGCCCACCTCACCCTCCCAAAGTGCTGGGATTACAGGCATGAGCCACTGTGCCCAGGCTGCTGTATCTCTTAATTCCTAGAACAACATGATGCATAGTAAACATAGTGTAGTACTTAATAAACCTTCAAATAGTTGTTAAGTGAATGAATGAATTTTCTGTGTGTGTGTGCGTGTGTGTGTGTGTTTACTATATGTCTCCCTCTGTCCCTCTTGAGGCTTGAGGCAGAAAGTTTGAATTGTAATACTCAATAGAAAATAGGAGGTGGACGTTACTCATTCAGAACATAGTTATTGAGCACCTGCTCTGTTCAGGGACTACAGTAGTGACTAAGAGAGCTTATCCAAGAGAGGCTCTTCTAGAAGAGTAGGCAAACTGGAGTTACCTCATCTTGGTCTGAATGTCAATTCTGAAATGTTTTAGTATCATTTCCAGGGAGTGTTCTCAAATTAGTTTGTAGTGATTTACAAATCTCTTAGAAGTTTTCATAATCTCATTGAATTTTGGAGCTGGAAGTGACTAGTTTAACCATCTCATTTTACAGATTTGATGAAACTGAACTACAGGAATTGTAAGGGATTTGCACTTTGTGCACATTGAGTGTCTCTACTCAATTAGTTAATGACAAAACAGAAATAAAGGTCTGGGTCTAGCCTGCTGATTTACAAGTCGATGACTTTTCCACTATGCCATGCTGCCTTCCATTCCAAACCCACAAGAAATTTCTTTTCAAGAACAGACTATTTGCTGTTGCTTTATTACCTTTTTTAGTTAAGCACAATATCAGATAGAAAACTAAATAGTTCTTTTATAATTTTTCAACATGTGAGAGGTTAAATTCATTACTTTTATAGAAAGTTTGCAATAAATTTATTTTAAGCAATAAAATAATTCTTTTTATCATTTAAAGTTAATTGTGTTTTTAAGAATATGATTAAGTTGGAAGAATGAACTGAGTTTGTTTACATCAATTTCTCTTAAAAAATTGTTGCAGAGAAACTCTTGCTACTCAGTTGGATCTAGCAGAAACAAAAGCTGAGTCTGAGCAGTTGGCTCGAGGCCTTCTGGAAGAACAGTATTTTGAATTGACTCAAGAAAGCAAGAAAGCTGCTTCAAGAAATAGACAAGAGATTACAGATAAAGATCACACTGTTAGTCGGGTAAGTGTGATAGTCAAGTAAGTCATATAAAATTTATTTAAATCACAGTAGGTCACATCTTAAAGTATTAGGGTAAGTGTGTGTGCAAGTGTATTTACTTCTATGTTATACATAGTGGTCATTCTGTACTCAGGTATAAAATAGTTTGTATAATACCAAACATTTGTTAATTATTGAAATTCTTGTTCAAGATATTGGGCTTTTGTTTGTATAGGTACAGAACCAATGCAATATTGGGCTGTTTTTCTTTCTGGCTGTAGATCTTATTAGTTATATTTCATATGAAGAAATGGCTTAGCTTAAATTCATTTGTTGTTCTCTTAATACATTGCAACTGATTTTTTATGGGCCAGAATTCTATGAAATAAAGAGAAACCATTTTGGAATGAGGAATTCTTGGGATAATATATAAATCCATTATAAGAAAACCAATACTCTAAACAATTACCTATTCCTGAAGTTTATACTATAGTCTATATAGAATCATGGGACTAAAAAGAGGAGTTAGATTTTTCTTCCAAAGCCACTATCAATCGCTCTGGGTTCCAGTTTTGCCTCTAAGAAGTTATATGGTCTTGGCAAAGTTGGCTTTAACTTCTCTAAGCCTCAGATTTCTCATCTGTAAAATAGAAATAGTAATACCTCTTCCACGTGATTGTTACGAGGATTAAATAAGAGAGTAGACATAGAATGATTAATATAGCATATAACATAGTAATGATTATACATTACTAAAAGTAATCTATAAATAAATGTTTTTATTGTTTGCATCATCAATATTCAGATAAAGATACTGAAGTCCAGAAAAATTATGACTTGCTCAGGGTCACATACTAGGTTAATCGCAGAGCTGGAACTAAATACACATTTCTTAGTTTGCAATCTAGTTATCTTGCCATTACATATGCCCCCCTTTCGTTCATATATATATATCTATATGCATAAACTGAAATAATTTTTGGAAGCTGTTAACTACTTTTAAATATTTTTGATGTAATTATATCTACATATTTTAAGCTGGAAACCAGACATTTGCTGTAGTTGAGCAGTGTCTGACTTTTCTTTATCTAGCAGTATATTTAAAGGTTATTGCCTGAAATATGAGAATAGCAAAGAGGCTGGAGCTTAAACTTTTGTGTGCTTTGTTCAGCTTGAAGAAACAAACAGCATGCTAACCAAAGATATGGAAATATTAAGAAGAGAGAACGAAGAGCTAACAGAGAAAATGAAGAAGGCAGAGGAAGGTATGTAGAATTTTTTTTAAATTATCATGTTAAATCAAATTCAGTGATTTACCTTTACCTATGTTGTGTTAGGTTTCTAAGATACCTGTTTTCATATATTAAGTAACTTCTGTAGCCTTAAGAATTATCTTAATGAAGTTACTGAAAGTTAATATGTAGTGTATACTCATTTGAATAATTAAGGACATTGTTAGTTTGAGATGCAGAAATTAATACCATACAATAACATTTAATATAATTTGTTGACAGAATATAAATTGGAGAAGGAGGAGGAGATCAGTAATCTTAAGGCTGCCTTTGAAAAGAATATCAACACTGAGCGAACCCTTAAAACACAGGTATACATGCTTTCAATCTTTTCCACATGTTCATTTTTGAGTTAATCGTTGCTCTTTATGTACTTTTTCCTAAAACCAAGGATTATAAGGTTCAAACTTTTCATCAGAACAAATAACGTAAATTCTTTTTTTTTTTTTGAGACGGAGTCTCGCTCTGTCGCCCAGGCTGGAGTGCAGTGGCCAGATCTCAGCTCACTGCAAGCTCCGCCTCCCGGGTTCCCGCCATTCTCCTGCCTCAGCCTCCCGAGTAGCTGGGACCACGGGCGCCGCCACCTCGCCCGGCTAATTTTTTGTGTTTTTAGTAGAGACGGGGTTTCGCCGTGTTAGCCAGGATGGTCTCGATCTCCTGACCTTGTGATCCGCCCGTCTCGGCCTCCCAAAGTGCTGGGATTACAGGCTTGAGCCACCGCGCCCGGCCAAATAACGTAAATTCTCTCCCTGCTAACTATAAAAAACTTACTTGTGAAATAGGATTTTCAGGCCAGGCGTGGTGGCTCATGCCTGTAATCCCAGCACTTTAGGAGGCTGAGGCCAGCAGATCACTTAAGGCCAGGAGTTCGAGAGCAGCCTGGCTGACATGGCGAAACCCCAGTCTCTACTAAAAATACAAAAATTAGCCGGGCATGGTGGTGCGCTCCAGTAATACCAGCTACTCAGGCAGCTGAGGCACGAGAATTGCTTGAACCCAGGAGGCAGAGGTTGCAGTGAGTAAAGATCATGCCACTGCATGCCAGCCTGGGTGACAGAGCAAGACTCGGTCTCAAAAATAAAAAAAAGAATAGGATTTCAGTTAAGAAAGCTAACTTACCTAGTAATATTGTACAGTTGTAGAAGATAAGAGTATGTGGCCAAGGCATAGAAGCTTTATTTGCTAGTACCCAACATCAGAGTAGGATTAACATACTCTTGATTCAGTACTGGGTTGTAAAGTTAACCAAGGAAAGGCTCCTGGTTCTTACATTTGAGTAGTGTGATAAATCAGTGTTAGTTACTTGTGCTACCAGTTATCATGTCTCAACCGTCATTAAGTTGTCCGAATTTTCATACACACAAAAAGTCCTGCTTCCTTATTTTGAAGAAAAAAATACATTTTAGTATTAAATTGGATGACTACACTATTTATCTTTATTAATATTTTAATAGGCTGTTAACAAGTTGGCAGAAATAATGAATCGAAAAGATTTTAAAATTGATAGAAAGAAAGCTAATACACAAGATTTGAGAAAGAAAGAAAAGGAAAATCGAAAGCTACAACTGGAACTCAACCAAGAAAGAGAGAAATTCAACCAGATGGTAGTGAAACATCAGAAGGAGCTGAATGACATGCAAGCGGTAAGGTTTGTGTGTGTGTATGGACACGAGTGTGAAGGATTATTTTCTTAAATTATTTCTGTATATACTTGTTATCTGTTTATCTTGTTTAGATTGGGAACAATCAAGGGTTCCGCCTGTTTGGTTTCAGACTGTAATTGGGATATGGCTGTTTTAATATTAACTGTAATTGGGGTAGAGGTTTTGAAGTATTGTAGCTTATTTATTTTCTCTAGTCAAGACTCACTTTTTTGAAATCAAAATAACAAGCTTAATTTTTTGATACCTCTTGGCTTGTTAATAGAACAAAATTGAGAACCTGGTCTCAGGCACTTAGATCTAAGCTTTTTAGCTCCATCAATTATGGTTTTCTGAAGTTTTCTGTACCTTTAAAGCTACTTCATTTGGAGCCAGAAAAGCATTTTCTATTGTAACTTTTTTTTTTGATGGCTTATGTTTGAAAACAAAAACAAAAACTCTTTTTAAGGCAAGTAGAAAAGGAATTTGTCCGAGCAATGTATTACTGAGAACTTGACATTTCTGTAGTGTATCAAAATCTGTGGTAGCAAACATTCATGAAGTTTACTGTACATTTTTAGTATTAGCAATTTAAATTACTTTATTATATTTCAATTAATAATGTTGGAAATTGTTTTAGCTTGATTATATATTATCTTGATACTTTTCAAAATTAGCAACTGGTAGAAGAATGTGCACATAGGAATGAGCTTCAGATGCAGTTGGCCAGCAAAGAGAGTGATATTGAGCAATTGCGTGCTAAACTTTTGGACCTCTCGGATTCTACAAGTGTTGCTAGTTTTCCTAGTGCTGATGAAACTGATGGAAACCTCCCAGGTAAGAATAATTCTGTATCATTCAAACATGTATAAATGTCATGGAAATTAGTGTATATTTCTTTCATTTGGGTTTCTACCTCCTTGTCGTTCTATCCATGGATTCCTAAGAAGGAATTCTTATTTCTGATAGCCAAGGCCTGATGATTATACACTTGGTGTATTTTATGGAGTACAGCAGTTGTAAGCAATCTTAGGCTATTTAAATAGACCTAAGAAGCTTTACCTGAATAAAAACCATAAGAGGTTTATGAACCTATTTTGAGCAGCCTAAGTCCACAGTGAGAGTCAAAGCTGCTACTACACATCTCGCTATTTTTTAAAAGTTGTACATTTTTGTCAGTAATAGATCTTTAACATTTTCTGTATTCTTGTGCTAAAACTAGGAACTGTACTTTATCATCAGAATCACAGCAGCTATGTATAGAAGCCTATCTAGTGGAGTAGTGATCAACTTCAATCAGACTTTGTTAAGTTTTAAGTTTGGAGAAATAGATAAAAGGGGTTGGGCAGTGCAGTAAGAGGCCAGGGGTGTCAAATAAAGGCAGGAATGAGTGGCTAAGATTTCAGACTTTTTTCTGTGTCTTCTTTTTCCCAGTGGAGAATCAATTTAAAAATAAACACAACTTCATTCTTGGCTTAATCGTCATGTAAACTACAGTACATTTATGTACTTTACAGAGATGAGAAATACGTATACTATAAGTTCAGTTTAGAAGTAAAATGAATAGGTTATCATTATTAAAACATGCATTTACATATACACAGAGTCTTAGTTCAGAGTCTTGGAAGTTTTGTATATATGGTCATAAACTTGAAAATAGATTTTAATTAGTGTATTTTCTGAATAATCCATAAATAGGAAGATATTTATGAAGCAGCATGTTTGATATTATAGGGATTCTATTTTAACAGATATTACTTGTTATTGTGACTTTGATATAAGGAACTAGATGAGTCACTCAGAAAACTTTATAGTATCTTTCTTGGTCAAGAAAGTGGGACTCAAAGTGGGAAATGAATTCAGCTCCTCTCTGTATGCCATGTGATCCCTGGCCTCATTCTTGTGTGGCTTTGCTAGGTCAAAATCAGGTATCTGGGAATGGAAAGGCAGTGAAGAAATATTTCTTATTTTAGTGGTCAAGGAACTCCTCTTTTTACCTATTTTTGGCTCTCTGAAACTGCCTACCTCTTGAGAAACTTGCAGGTACACATGATTCATTATTGGAGAATCGCTTTGGATTTAATAAGAACCTCTAGCTTTAGTAGTTGAACATCTTTCTGAAGTTAGACTTAATCATCACTAAGAATACAACTTTTAGAAGTGTTTGGCTACATTCTTTCAATTGTTGAACTGAATTTGTAGGTTAGATTCCCACTTCATTTACCCTGAGATACTTCTGGAGTTATTTAGTATAGGGGTTATGTATGTATGTATGTATGTATATATGTATATATGTATGTATGTATGTATGTATGAAACAGTCTCACTCTGTCACCCAGACTAGAGTGCAGTGGTGCGATCTTGATTCACTGTAACCTCTGCCTCCTGGGCTCAAGCGATCCTCCCACCCCAGCCTCCTGAGTAGCTGGGACTACAGGTGCGCATCACCACACCCAGCTCATTTTTTTAACTTTTTGTGGAGATGGGATTTCACCATATTGCCCAGGCTGGTTTTGAATTCCTGAGCTCAAGCTATCCACCTGCCTTGGCCTTCCAAAGTGCTGAGATTACAGGCATGAGCCACCTGCCTGGCCGACCTTACTCTATTTAATGTCAATTCAAAATTCTGACCAATTTTATTTTTATTCCACCCATTTCTCTTTAACTATGTATAATGCCTTATATGTACCTTAGTTTTCTTAGTATTGAGTGAAATATGTCAGAAATGGATACATTATTGGTGAATGCTAGTTAAAAGATTTGAGTTGAAAGATGAGCTGGTGGGACTGCTAATGAGGAAAGTGATGAATTTTACCCACCATCGTGGCTGATTCAGAAAGGCTAAGCTCATAGTGCCATCAGCTGGCTTCATTGGCAGACTTAGGCTGGGAATCCATTTAGATTTCAGAATCCTGACCTAATAAATTGACTTATTGAGCAAAGAGATTTTTAAATGTTTCTACTAGCTCTATTTTGAGTATATTTCTTAGAATATTAGTGTACTTTCAGGAATTTTGTTTTTAAGGTTATCAAAGTCCAAACCAAGTGGGGCAGGGAGTATTGGTGGCCATTTTCCCTTGCTAGAAAATGAGGCCAGTTAATATCTCTTTTCCTATTACTGTGTTCTTAATTTTGAGACTTTATAAAATCTCAACAGTGCTGAACCTTGACTTTCATATTGGAAGTAGAAATTAATGGATAATCTTTGTCAATATTATTTACCTCTCTGTGGGTCAGATATTTTGCTAGTAAATTGAAAATCTGTATTAAATCCACCATTTACTAGATGCTCAAAAATGGTCCCTGGCAAATAAAGTTAAGGTTTTGCAGTCATATCTAGGAAGAATTGTTAAAGAATGTTGATGTTCATTCTTAATATTAGATAGTTACATATCATTCTAGTGTCTAAAAAATGTCTTGAAGGTAATGGCTAATGATTAATTTTTACTTCAGTTTACAAAATTAATAAATGAATATACATACTAAAAAGGAGAGAACTTTGAATAGATTAAGTTTACTCCACAGTTAAAATAATGGCTTTTTAAAATATGGGTCACGTTTTTCAATTTTTTTTTAAGTAGTTGGATGGATGAACTGACACTGCAACTTTTATTCTCTTAGATTTCATCATTCAATATAAAGATTATAATTTAATTATCTTGTACATCTAGAGCACAGCCTCTATGAATCCTCAGTGGCCATTTTGTTATTAACTGGCTTAAATCTTAAATCTCCCCTCTGAAATTCCCAATTCTAAAAACCTTATTAAAAAATGTTACTCCTGGCCGGGCGCGGTGGCTCAAGCCTGTAATCCCAGCACTTTGGGAGGCCGAGACGGGCGGATCACGAGGTCAGGAGATCGAGACCATCCTGGCTAACACGGTGAAACCCCGTCTCTACTAAAAATACAAAAAACTAGCCGGGCGAGGTGGCGGGCGCCTGCAGTCCCAGCTACTCAGGAGGCTGAGGCAGGAGAATGGCGCAAACCCGGGAGGCGGAGCTTGCAGTGAGCTGAGATCCGGCCACTGCACTCCAGCCCGGGCTACAGAGCAAGACTCCGTCTCAAAAAAAAAAAAAAAAAAAAAATGTTACTCCTTCTCTGACTTATAACTCTTTGAAGTTCTTGAAGTCACCTTCATTCTCTTAATTCTTTTATGTCTTTATCCTCTCTTTGGTTCTGTAGCAGGTTATGAACTACCACACAATGTAAACATAAAGATTACTCTTAGGGTTATGGATGCCTGTTGCTTAGATGACAAAAACTTTTATGTGATAACTGTTTCTTTTCTTCATTGTTTCTCTTTCCTTCTTTTGGAGCTGTTAACCTAGACATCTGAAGAGAATGTAGAAATAGATGAGGCATTAGGAAAACTTGTATTGATACTCCAGTAATATTCATGATCTCTTATGGATTATTTGTATCATACCCTTTTCCATCCAGCTTGACCTTAGGTTATGTAACTTAAACCTGAAAATGGTGGATCGCTTGGTGTGTTTCCCAATATTTGAATCTATGAAGGTTTCTGACTTTGCCCAAATCTACAGTGATTTGAAGTTGGTGTATCTGGCTTGTTGAGTGTTGATTTAATTTTCTTTTTTATATCACTTTTGAATTTAATTAAAATATTTTGAAATGGTTCTCTAGCCCTGTTTCTTTTTTTTTGTATTTATTTATTCATTTATTTGCTTGTTAGTTTATTAATAATTGACTAATTAAAAGTAGATTACTAAATAATATAGGTACTTTTTTGCAATTTACTATTTTCACTTAAAATACATTTTGGAACTCACTCCAAGGCTGTTCATAGAACTCTTTTTTTTTTTTTTCTTTTTTTTTAGAGTTTTTGGACTGATTTTTATTATAGTCACATTTTTTTTCTTTTTTTTCTTTTATTTTTATTTATTTTTTATTATTATACTTTAAGTTCTAGGGTACATGTGCATAACGTGCAGGTTTGTTACATATGTATACTTGTGCCATGTTGGCGTGCTGCACCCATCAACTCGTCAGCACCCATCAACTCGTCATTTACATCAGGTATAACTCCCAGTGCAAGCCCTGTTTCTTAAGCAGTATGTTTGTGGTATAGCTAAATAAATTAGGTTGTCTTCAGAAGTTAGTTCTGATGTTTAAATTGGCTGTATCGAGTATTGATGTAGATATAGTTAGAGTATCTCTTATTAGGGTAAAGAAATCGCTGATACTGTAGTAATATACATCTAACTTCGTATAATTTAAAATTGCTCTACAAATATATTGTATAAAATTTGGAGCCAAGTTGTTTTTGTACATATGTAGAATATTATTAATGATAATCCAGACTTAGAGGTTCTCTCGGTGGGAGTTTCATTTAGTTATCTGGAGAAGCTGTTTTCTGTGCTTGTGATATAAAAGATGGAATTTACAGCATTATACCTCCAGGTCACCACTGAAGTCACAGGTAGTCCCGATTTAGAGGAGGTCTTTATATATTTTAAAAACTGGTAAGTATATTATCTTGCAACTATGGTAGGAGTGAGGAAAGAAAACAGAGGAGAAGCTAGTATTTTTTTTATTTTTATCTGTTATTATTGAGCTTAGTTCAGTTGCTTCTCTGAGGGAATTCACCAGATGGAAAAACTAAAATTTTCTCCCATGACTTTATTGTAAATTGACAAAAACCTTCACATATTCTTGACACCTTTATTTTCATTCCAGATTTCTTCATTTAATTTATTTTCTCCCTGGGCCTCTTCATTTAATTTAAATATGAGCAACTGTAGAATTCTGGCTTATTTGACTCATAAAATTCCTTTGGTATATAAAATTTCTAAGGAACACTGAAATGACAGATAAAGCCATACCATATAACAACTTATTGAAGATATATTAAAGAAAACTGGCAGGTTAACCCACATCTAGAGACAGAAGGCATAAGTATTTTTGACATTTATTGTCACAAAGAAATAATGTGAAAGTGTAGAGTATTTCGGCATACAAAATTTTGTGTAAATGTCAAGATTTCAAAGGCTTTTATATGTTTGTTTTTGGTGAGGAATTACTGATACTAAACAACTTTGTATTATCAGATATTAAGACTACTTTTCATTCTCACTAATGTTCATCTTAATGTTTTCCAAACTACACTTTAAAACCAGAGCTGCCATTTCTGCCACACTAATGGGAAAATTTCTAGCAATAACTTTTTTGCTTTTATAAAATAAAACATTGGTGAATAATCAATATGTGATCAGCAGTCTTTTGTTTGTTATTTAGTATAAAACTGCCCGTTTGGTTTTTAAACTGTAACCATTAAAGTCACCAAGGATGACTTTAATTGGCTAATTCAGAAGAACGAAGAATTGCAAAATAATCAACAAATGTCTGTCACGTACCTCCTCGGTGTGTCATTTGCCATGGGATATATAAAATCAAGTGTTAAGATATGGTCCTTGCTCTCACAGAACTTACCAAGGAACTACCTAACCAACAAAATAATTACTTCATGAACTAAATCGCAGCAATTAAAGCTAGGTGCTGTGGTACATGCCACTGCTCAGGAAGCTGAGGCTCAGGAGTTCGAGGCCAACCTGGACAACATAGCAAGACTTCATGTCAAAAAAAAAAAAAAAAAAGGAAAAAGAAAAATGTTGGGAGAAGAGAGAGGGATCATTTTGAACTAAAGTTATCTCATCATTTCCTCCATTTTAACAATTTATATGAAGAGGAATAACACAAGCAAAGGAGTGGAGACATTAAGTACCTGGTGGGAGTAGAGGGAAAAAATATTTCCCACAATTCAGTCAACTGCAAAGCTTGTTTGGGAACAGAATAGTGTTGTGCTCTAGAAACATAAGCTCAGAAGTTAGACTGTCAGGATTTGAAACCATAGAGCTTTGATAGATACTGATAGAGTTGCCTTGCCCAAGTCAGTTTACCCTGCTAAGCCTTAGTCTCTTCTTTTGTAAGTGAAAGATGACAGTAGAACCTAATTCCAAATTCCTAGGAATATCCTGTATTCATGGACTTATACATAGGTTAAATATGAGATATTATAAAGCATGTAGCAAATAATAAATTTGTAAATAAATCAATAAATCAGTAAATGTTACCTCTTGTTAACTGTTGCTGTAAGACTGAGTTTATAGCTTGTAAGTTACATGAAGGGGGACAATATATATTCCCCTTAGGATTATCATTTGAGTAATAGTATAATCTCATATTTTAGTGTCATACTTTGAAATTGGTTATTTTTCTATTCTTTTGTGTTTCAAATATAAGGTAGACATAGAAAATAGTTAAATTGAATGGATTTTCTTATTTCCAACCTAATCTAAAATAACCATTTCTAATGGAGTTGTCTTTATCCTCCAGATATTTCTAGTAAACATTAGTTATATATAAACAATAGTGATAATTATTATAGAATGCCTTGATCAAATAGTCAAGGAATTCCTGGTATGCACGTACTAGTTGAAGTAATGACGGTAGACCAAATGGATTCTGTGTTTTTACTGTTTATCAAATTGTGACATCACAAACTTAAGAGGCTTTAAAACTCTTTAGTTTGAGTAGAATTGTAATTGGACTTACCACTAGAGTTAAGTGCTCCCTTCAACCAAATTTGGACGATTTTATTGAAATTGTTACAAATTCAAATTGAAGTTGTTTTACCAAAAAGCTTAATCAGAATATTGTACTGAGAAAACAAATAAAATACTTGTCTCTTATTCTTTATATCTAGTTGATTCTGCCTGCATTCCTTATTTATTTATCTTCTATTCTTGTCTTCTGTGAGTAATAGGACACTTCTATACTTTTGCTTGCTCTTGTGTAAATTATGGCTCTGATTTGTTCCACTTGCTGCATAATGTTTTTCTTTCTTTTTTTTTTTGCTGATTATTTTTATATGAATGTTAAATGATAAAGTCTTCTACATCATATCCCATTTAAGCTGCAATCCATTCCAGTCTTGCCTGGCTCTTAAGGGTATTGTTACTTCATACTTTTGTAATTGAGTACTAAATGTTAAATTGTATGGGAAAAGTGGCTTGAAATTTTTTTCTGCAATATTTGTATGGCCATTAAAGTTAATTTGTGTGATTGAAGCATGGAAGAGCAAATTATAGCACTTATTCATTTAGTTGCGTTCAGTTGCTTGTTGCTGCATGCTGTCAGACAACTTTTAATTGTTTTTCTTTTGTTACAATTTAAGACTGACTAATATATATATTCTTTTTCTCCTAGAGTCAAGAATTGAAGGTTGGCTTTCAGTACCAAATAGAGGAAATATCAAACGATATGGCTGGAAGAAACAGGTACCATATACCTATTTATTTTCTAACTGGTATTTTGTTCTATATTTTACTTTGAAGCATAGAACTTATATTAGCTACTTTTTTACTTTTTGTTAGCATTGATTTTACATTAATACAATATAATCTAGATATTAGTGGCAAATATTATGCTTTTCACTTTAAACCAAGTTAATGTTGCTCTTGTAACTCTTCCCCCTTTTTTCTTATTTCAGTATGTTGTGGTAAGCAGCAAAAAAATTTTGTTCTATAATGATGAACAAGATAAGGAGCAATCCAATCCCTCTATGGTATTGGACATAGAGTAAGTTGCCTTTGATTGAATTTTAAAGGGGTTGAGAGCTAACTTTTGATAATTATTTTTAGACTTAAAATTTATTTTATATTTTGTGTTACTTCAACACTGTTACCTACTTTTCTGTTTTTCTTAAGCATAAATGTTGACATTATATTAAATCTTTAGCAAAATGTGAGAAGAAAAAATGTATATACTTATTATTTGGAAGACAAATTTTTTATTTCAAGTGTTTAGTAGTTTAAGTTCAGAGAGCATTTCAAAACGTATAGTCAGCTGTGTATCAGTGGGTTCCATATCCACAACTGTGGACAGAAAATATTTGAAAGAGGGCCAGGTGCAGTGGCTCACACCTGTAACCCCGGCACTTTGGGAGGCCAAGGCAGGTGGATCAACTGAGGTCAGGAGTTCAAGACCAGCCTGGCCGGTGAAACCCCGTCTCTGCTAAAAATACAAAAATTATCTGGGCGCAGTGGCAGGCACCTGTAGTCCCAGCTAGCTACTCTGGAGGCTGAGGCAAGAGAATCACTTGAACCCGGGAGGCAGAGGTTGCAGTGAGCTGAGATTGCGCCACTGCACTCCAGCCTGGGCCACGAGAGCGAAACTCCACCTCAAAAAAAAAAAAATTATATATATATATATATATATAAAAGAAAATTAAAAATAACAATATAGTAATTTAAAATACAAATTTCTAAAAAAAAATACAGTATAACAACTGTTTACATTGCACTTACACTGTATTATGTCTTATGAGTAATCCAGAGATGATTTTAAAGCATACAGGAGGATGTGCCTAGGTTATATGCAAATACTACACCATTTTATATGAGAGCCTTGAGCATACTTGGACTTTTGACATTTTTGGAGTTCCTGGAATCAATTCCCCATGGATATCAAAGAACAGCTGTGTAGGATTCTTTGGTCATTATTAAGGGGAAATATAAATATATCTGTTCTTTTGTAGTGATAGGTCAAAGAGGCCTATAATATAGTATTTTTTCCTTATATTCATTCTAAAATCATTTCTTATTGTTGCTTATATTATCATAGATTATGCAGTATGTATAAAGATGAGTAAATTCCATAATTAAGGAGCTTACCGACTAGTAGGAGAAAAGGCAAAACATGCAACAAAATATAAATTCAAAGTCAAGTATGGTAACTGCTTTTTAAAAGAAATACATATGCCGGGTGCGGTGGCTCACGCCTGTAATCCCAGCACTTTGGGAGGCCGAGGCGGGCGGATCACAAGGTCAGGAGATCGAGACCACGGTGAAACCCCGTCTCTACTAAAAATACAAAACATTAGCCAGGCACGGTGGTGGGCGCCTGTAGTCCCAGCTACTCAGGAGGCTGAGGCAGGAGAATGGCGTGAACCCGGGAGGCGGAGCTTGCAGTGAGCCGAGATCGCGCCACTGCACTCCAGCCTGAGCGACAGAGCGAGACTCCATCTCAAAAAAAAAAAAAAAAGAAATATATATATAAAATAAAGTATTGCCATCCCTTTGGAATTAAGTATTTGTGGAGCTGGTTATAGTTAGAATGTAAAAAGAATTAAGCAAGTACTAGAGAATACTCATATTTTATTTTCTTTTTTTTTTTTTTAAAAAAAAGCTTTAGTTGTCAAAATTTAAATTATCAGCTTAAGTGAAATAATAAACACTTATATGAAAGATATTATCTTTCAACTAAGTTAAATACTTTTTAGATTGATGAGAGATTTCTTTCCTCTCTTTATTAAGGTATAATTTCCCACAATAAAGTTCATAGATCTTAAGTGTTCTGTTCAGTAACTTTCTACAGTTGTAAACACTCATGCAATCACCACTCAATACAAGACAAAAAAAATTTGTATTTCTTTAGAAAACTCACTTGTGGCTGGGCACAGTGGCTTATGCCTCTAACCCCAGCACTTTTGGAGACCGAGGTGGGCGGTTGGCCTGAGTTCAATTCGAGACCAGCCTGGGCGACATAGCAAGACCCTGTCTCTGAAAAAAGAATATAGATATATATTTTTTAATTTATAAAGAAAGCTCACTTGGGCCGGGTGCAGTGGCTCATGCCTATAATCCCAGCACTTTGGGAGGCCGAGGTGGGAGGATCACGAGGTCAGGAGTTGATTCGAGACCAGTCTGGCCAACATGGTGAAACCCTGTCTCTACTAAAAATACAAAAGATTAGCTGGGCATGGTGGCAGATGCCTGTAATCCCAGCTACTTGGGAGGCTGAGGCAGGAGAATCGCTTGAACCCAGGAGGCAGAGGTTGCGGTGAGCCAAGATTGTGCCACTGCACTCCAGCCCGGGTGACAGAGCGAGACTCCATCTCACAAAAAAAAAAAAAAAAAAAAAGAAGAAAGCTCACTTGTGCCTCTTCCCATGATCTGATTTCTATTGCCAAGATTAGTTTTGCCTGTTCTAGGACTTCATATAAATGGAATTAAACAGTACACTTTTGTGCCTAGCATCTTTCACTCATACTGCACCTGTGGTGTTGTATGTATTGATTGTTCTTTGTATTGCTGAATAGTATAGCATTGTATGAATTTGTTTATCCATTTTTGTGTTGATTGACATTTGGGTTGCTTCCAATTTGGGGCTATCGTGAGTAAGACTTAGGAGCATTCCTTTTTTTAAACTTATGTTTTCATTTCTCATGGGTAAATACCTAGGAGTGGAATCCTGGATTATAAAATAGATCTGTGTTAGCTTTTCTAGTGGATGCTAAATGCTATCTCATTGTTATTTTAATTTGCATTCTCCTCATAACTAATAATAGCAAGAATCTTTCATGTCATTGTTAGCCATTGTGTATCTTTTCTTAAGTTTTTTCAAGTCTTTTGCCCATTTTTAAATTCGGTTGCTTATGTTTTTAAGATTGGTTTTTAAGAGTTCTATATGTATTCTGAATAAAAATCCTGTGTTAGAAATATGTAATGCAAATATTTCCCAATCTGTTGCTTGCCTGTTGATTTTCTTAATGGTGTCTTTTAATGAGGATCAGTGTACCAATTTTTAAAATGTTTTCTGCCTCTTGTGGTCTGTGTTTGGTAAGAGGTAGTTGTTTAGGTCAGGTTGGCTTTTTTTCCCCCACATAGGTATCTGGTTGTTCCAACAGTATTTGTTTTTATATATTGACCTTGAATCATTTAATCTTGCTTTGCACTTAACAGTTTTATAGGGTTGTGGGGTTTTGGGGTCAATTCCACAGGGCTTTTCTACACATAGTCATTCCTCTGTATCTGTGGGTTCTGCATCTGTATATTCATCCAACTATGGATTAAAAATGTAGTTAGGCCTACTATGGTTGTGTCTGTACTTAATATGTACAGATTTGTTTTCTTGTCATTATTCTCTAAACAATATAGTATAACAATTTCCATAGCACTTACATCGTATTAGGTATTATATCTAGAGACAAGTTTAAATATACAGGAGGGTGTACTTAGGTTATATACAAATACTACACCATTTTTTTATCTTTTCTTTTTTTTCCTGTCTCGTCCCTCCCTCCTTCCCTCACCTTCTCTGTCTTTCTCTTTCTCTCTTCAAAATCCCCAGAGGATTTTGGTATCCTCCAGGGTCCTGGGACCAATCTGCCACGGATACCACAAGACAACTGCATACAATCATGTCATCACCAAATAATGAGTTTCACTTCTTTCTTTCCAATCTGTATGCCTTTCTCACATGTATAGATTCATATGGCCACCACCACACTCAAAATACAGAACAATTCCATCACAAGCATCCCTGTGCTACTCCTTTTGTAGCCAAAAGGCAGCTTCCTTCCTCCACCTCTCCCTAATCCATAGCAACACTAATCTATTCTCCATCTCCATAATTTTGTCTCTTCAAGGGTGTTATATGAATGGAATCAAATAATGTGTAATCTTTGATGATCAGCTTTTTTCCCATTCAGTATAATTCCCTTAAGATCAATCCACGTATGATTTGTTTTTTTCTTACAGAGTAGTATTCCATAGTGTAGATGTATCTCAGTTTGCGTACCCATTTATTTGGGTTGTTTCTAGGTTTTGGTTATTATGAATAAAGCTCCTGTGAACATCTATGTGGAGGTTTTTTTAAATAGATATAAAATTTTTAATAAATTTTTGTTTCTTGGAATTAAAGGCCTAACAGTGCAATTTGCTGGGTTATATGGTAAGCATATGTTTAGTTTTCTAAGAAATCGCCATATTCTTTTCCAGAGTGGCTCTGTAATTTTACGTTCCATCAGCAGTATATGAGTGATTTACTTTCTCCGCATTCTCACCAGCATTTGGTGTTATTACTATTTTTATTTTTTTTAACTCTGATAGATGTGTAGTGACACTAATTGTGGTTTTAGTTTGCATTTGTCTAATAACTGATGATGTTGAATATCTTTTTATGTGCTTATTTACCACCTGTATGTCCTCTTTAATGAAATGTCTTTTACAATAAATGAGTTTTTGTAAATGGCCTATATTTATTTTCATTTTAGTAAACTGTTTCACGTTAGACCTGTAACCCAAGGAGATGTGTATAGAGCTGAAACTGAAGAAATTCCTAAAATATTCCAGGTAAAAATCTGAAGTTATAATTTTAAAGAATCTAAGTCCTAAGTGTTTTTGTGAAGTAAATGTAAAATTTACCAATGCTTAAGATTTTTAAAATCTTTTCCTTTCACCATTCCTGAATGTAGATACTATATGCAAATGAAGGTGAATGTAGAAAAGATGTAGAGATGGAACCAGTACAACAAGCTGAAAAAACTAATTTCCAAAATCACAAAGGCCATGAGTTTATTCCTACACTCTACCACTTTCCTGCCAATTGTGATGCCTGTGCCAAACCTCTCTGGCATGTTTTTAAGCCACCCCCTGCCCTAGAGTGTCGAAGATGCCATGTTAAGTGCCACAGAGATCACTTAGATAAGAAAGAGGACTTAATTTGTCCATGTAAAGGTAAGGTATGGCAATTATTGTTACAACTTATAATAAATTTAGTTCTAAGTCTCAATGAAATAACTTATGTGTATTAATTTCTATACCAAGTTGAAAAGAGATTATAAAAAGTAATATTTTGACACTGGTGGAGCAATGTGCAGCTACTTACAGATTTAGCTTTTAAGAATGTTTTTATTTATTTTTGTTGATTGATTGAGATAGAGTCTCACTCTGTCTCGCCCAGGCTGGAGTGCAATGGCGTGATCTTAGCTCACTGCAGCCTCTGCCTCCCAGGTTCAAGGGATTCTCCTATCTCAGCCTCTTGAGTAGCTGAGACTATAGGCATGTGCCACCACACCTAGCTAATTTTGCATTTTTAGTAGCGATGGAGTTTCAGCATTTTGCCCAGGCTGGTCTCGAACTCCTGACCTCAGGTGATCCACCTGCTTTGGCCTCCCCAAAGTGCTGGGATTACAGGTGTGAGCCATTGCACACCCGGCCAACAGTGTTTTTAAAGAGAATCACCCCCTTGTAAACAAACAAAAAAACCAAACATGCCACTAAGAAATTACTCCAAGTTGGAGAGGAGAGCAACAGGTGAGTTCTACTCTATTCCGCCCTTTAGTTTTTCCTCTTCTTTTTGTCTGGCATTCACTGCCTGGATCAGCATGCATGCTGTATCATAGACAGAATATTTTCTAGTTTAGCAGAGGTAGCTTGAGGGAAAGAATACAGACCATAGCTATTTTCAGATAAGAAACATATGTTCTTTAAATACATTTATTTGTTTTACTTTTTTTTTATGTTTCTGATTTTACTTTATTAGTTTGACTAATTTATTTTTAAATTTTATCCTTATTTAACTTAAGGAGAATGAGATATTGTTCATGCTTAATTAAGCATATTAAAACTTTTAAAATCTTAAGAACTTGAAAAACTATGCATTTGATAGGTTGGATTTAAAAAAAGATATGACTTTAATTATGCTTTTTTTTCCTCCTTAACATAGTAAGTTATGACGTAACATCAGCAAGAGATATGCTGCTGTTAGCATGTTCTCAGGATGAACAAAAAAAATGGGTAACTCATTTAGTAAAGAAAATCCCTAAGAATCCACCATCTGGTTTTGTTCGTGCCTCCCCTCGAACACTTTCTACAAGATCCACTGCAAATCAGTCTTTCCGGAAAGTGGTCAAAAATACATCTGGAAAAACTAGGTAAGGATTTGAAATGCTAACCTTTTTAACAATGTGAAAATGATTGGATAACATCTATTAAAATCAGAAATCTAATTCTTTTCACCACAGAGGGCATCATTTTTAGGTCTTTGTATATGACTTGCAGTGACTTTATAAATTAGTTTGACTTATTCTTGTTAGAATTTAAAAATAATAATACATGCAATATTATATTTATTTAGTTCTGTGTCTAATTTTATTGTCATAAGTTGCTGTACATGGCATAGTTTTGGCCCTTAATGCTTTAACCAACTTGTTAATTTTTTTAATGCAGAAATTCATATAAAACTTTTAATCATCTTTTCTGTTTTTTAACTGTGTTGGCATAGTTTTTCTACAAAAACCAAGATTGTTTTTCCCTTTTTTGTTAACTTCCCATACTATCGCAACATACAAAATTATTTGGTATTATCAGTGACTATTTTTTTTAATTATTATACTTTAAGTTCTGGGATATATGTGCAGAACCTGCAGGTTTGTTACATAGGTATACATGTGTCATGGTGGTTTGTTGCACCCATCAACCCATCATCTACATTAGGTATTTCTCCTAATGCTATCCCTCCCCTAGTCCCCCGACCCTCCGACAGGCCCTGGTGTGTGATGTTCCCCTCCCTGTCTCCATGTTTTCTCATTGTTCAACTCCCACTTATGAGTGAGAACCTGTGGTGTTTGGTTTTCTGTTCCTGTGTTAGTTTGCTGAGAATGATGGTTTCCAGCTTCATCCATGTTCCTGCAAAGGACATGAACCTATCCCCTCGCCACCCCTCCCCCTTTTTTTTTTTTTTGAGGCAGAGTCTTGCTTTGTTGCCCAGGCTGGAGTGCAGTGGCGTGATCTCGGCTTACCACAACCTCAGCCTCCTGAGTAGCTGGGACTACAGGTGCATGCCACCATGACTGGCTAATTTTTGTATTTTTAGTAGAGATGGGGTTTCATTATGTTGGCCAGGCTTGTCTCGAACTCCTGATCTCATGATCCACCTGCCTCTGCCTCCCAATGTGCTGGGATTATAGGTGTGAGCCACCATGCCCAGCCGAACTTATCCTTTTTTATGGCTGCATATCAGTAACTATGTTATTACAAACAAACTTCCCAGTTAAGTCCTACTTCTTTTGTTGTTTAACTTTTTTTTGTTTTTTAAGACAGAGTCTCACTCTGTCACCCAGGCTGGAGTGCAGTGGCGGCACTGTCTCAGCTCACTGCAACCTCCACCTCCCAGGTTCAAGCAATTCTCCGACCTCAGCCTCCCAAGTAGCGGGGATTACAGATGGATGCCACCATGCCTGGCTAATTTTTGTCATTTTAGTAGAGAGAGGGTTTCATCATGTTGGCCAGGCTGGTCTCAAACTCCTGACCTCAAGTGATCTGCCTGCCCCAGCCTTCCAAAGTGCTGGGATTACAGGCATGAGCCATCACGCCTGGCTGTTTAAATATTTTTGATGGACTTTTTTCCAAAAATATCTTTTATGCCATGATAAACAATTAAAGGCATAACCATTCATTCATTCATTCATTCATTCATTCATTTTGAGACAGAGTCTCGCTCTGTTGCCCAGGCCAGAGTGCAGTGGCACAATCTCAGCTCACTGTAACCTCTGCCTCCCGGGTTCAAGCTGTTCTCCCACCTCAGCCTCTTGAGTAGCTGGGATTACAGGTACACACCACCACACCCTGCTAATTTTTGTATTTTCAGTAGAGATGGGGTTTCACCATGTTGGCCAGGCTGGTCTTGAACTCATGACCTCAGGTGATGCACCCTCCTGGGCCTCCCAAAGTGCTGGGATTACAGGCATGAGCCACCACACCCGGCAATTAACTCTTTCTTGGAGAGAAATTATGAAATCTCATCTCATTAAGTTCTCATTTTACTCATTAGTAAATAAGGCTCAGAGAAATTAAGCAGTTTGCTCAATCACAGAGCCAATGGATTGGAGGCCATTTCTGTCCAATTCTAAAGCCTATGTTGTCCAATTCCAAAGCCTCTATTCTACCACATACCAGCTTCCCTAGAGTGTACTCCCTAGATTAATAGGGCCATTTGAATCTAGAAGCTGAGACCTAACACTGATTGGCCTCACTGCCAGTGTCACCCACATCTTCCAAGCAGGCTTAAAGCCATCTTGAATTCATCTCTTTTGTTCATTCCCTGTTGTCAGTAACCAGGCCTAATTCTTTGAAATGACTTATATCCTTTCCTTCTCAGCCACCACACTATGCCAGGTATTACCACATCACTGCTAACTTAATTCTGTAGAATGCTATGTCAGCCTTCTCCTGAACATAGGGTGTAAACTGGATCTAAAGTGATTTGAAATGGGATTATAGCTGAGTAAGAAAATGTGCAGAAACAAAGAGGAGAGAATACTAAGTATATTTTTCCTATTCCTTGTTTCTCAAATTTTGTGTAATTGTTAATTGTATGTAAAGATAATGTATATTTACCTTTCCTCCTAATGTTTGTTTCTTGTATTCTTAAACAGAGTGCATTTCTTAAATTAGTTTTTTTCCCCCTCCTCAACAGTTAACCATGTGACCGAGTGCCTTGTGGAGTCGTGTGGATGCTACCTGATAAACCAGGCTTCTTTAACCATGCAGAGCAGACAGGCTGTTTCTTTGACACAAATATCACAGGCTTCAGGGTTAAGATTGCTGTTATTCTGTCCTTGCTTTGGCACAACACACTGAGGGGTTTTTTTTTATTGCGGGTTTGCCTACAGGTAGATTAGATTAATTATTACTATGTAATGCAAGTACAATTGGGGGAAAGCTTAGGTAGATATATTTTTTTTTAAAGGTGCTGCCTTTTTGGATTTATAAGAAAATGCCTGTCAGTCGTGATAGAACAGAGTTTTCCTCATATGAGTAAGAGGAAGGGACTTTCACTTTCATGTGGAACGGCCATCACTATCAAGATCAGCTCATGGAAGGAGTAAAGAAAATATCTCAAAATGAGACAAACTGAAGTTTTTTTTTTGTTTGTTTTTTTAAATGACTTAAGTTTTTGTGCTCTTGCAAGACTATACAAAACTATTTTAAGAAAGCAGTGATATCACTTGAACTTCAGTGCCCTCACTGTAGAATTTAAAAGCCTTACTGTTGATTGCCCATGGTGGACTTGATGGAGAAATTAAATATCTTTCATTATGCTTTAGAAAATACTGTATATGTTTCAGCAAGTTTGGGGAATGGGAGAGGACAAAAAAAATTACATTTAATCTATGCATTTTTGCCAAGCCATATTGAGTTATTTTACTACTAGAGACATTAGGAAACTAACTGTACAAAAGAACCAAGTTTAAAAGCATTTTGTGGGGTACATCATTTCTATAATTGTGTAATGTATTTCTTTGTGGTTTTAAATGATAAAGACATTAAGTTAACAAACATATAAGAAATGTATGCACTGTTTGAAATGTAAATTATTCTTAGAACACTTTCAATGGGGGTTGCATTGTCCTTTTAGTGCCTTAATTTGAGATAATTATTTTACTGCCATGAGTAAGTATAGAAATGTCAAAAAATGTATTTTCAAAAAATTATGTGTGTCAGTGAGTTTTTCATTGATAATTGGTTTAATTTAAAATATTTAGAAGTTTGTTGGACTTTCATAAATTGAGTACAATCTTTGCATCAAACTACCTGCTACAATAATGACTTTATAAAACTCTGCAAAAAATGTAGAAGGTTGCACCAATATAAAAAGGAAATATGGCAATACATCCATGATGTTTTCCAGTTAACATAGGAATTACCAGAAAAATACTGTTAAACTCTTGTCCAGTAACAAGAGTTGATGCATATGGACAGTATGATTTATTGTTTATTTTTTTAACCAAATACCTCCTCAGTAATTTATAATGGCTTTGCAGTAATGTGTATCAGATAAGAAGCACTGGAAAACTGATCGTCTCTAGGATGATATGCATGTTTCAAGTGGTATTGAAAGCCGCACTGATGGATATGTAATAATAAACATATCTGTTATTAATATACTAATGACTCTGTGCTCATTTAATGAGAAATAAAAGTAATTTATGGATGGATATCTTTAATTTTGACTGCAATGTGTTTTCTCATGGCTGAGATGAATGGAAAACATACTTCAAATTAGTCTCTGATTGTATATAAATGTTTGTTAAGTTCCACGGTTAGATTAAAGTATATTTTTAAAAGATAAAACGTGGTCTTGGGCTCTAAAACAAGAGTGGGTATAGTTCACATGAAAAGCTGACTAATGTGTGTTGGAAAACAATTCTCCGTGGGTCTCTTGCATTTCTGCACATCAGGGAAGCAGAGGCTCTGACAATCTTTCTTTTGACTATCTTTTCCAAGGATATTTATGTAGTGAACAGCCTTGGAAGATAAGAGTGTCTCCCTTGAGAGGATGTTGGGTTCTTTTACTGTCCAGTATAATAAAGATAACGTCTCCCACCTATAATGCAAACCCACTGTGTGCTCAGCACCCACCTGGGCCACTATGCATTGCCCACATGAGACTTGGAGGGCAAAGGGAACTAATGGAACATGAAACTCATGCTGCTTTTGCTGTGCTGTGAATGAAGGCATCTGACTCTGACCCAGGGGTCTCATCTCTGTTGTCAGGATCCATGAAACTGTGACCAGCAGCATGCAATTAGGATAAAATCTCAGCACAGTTCCTGATAGTGTCCTTATTACCTTCTCAGACTCATCACCATTACCTAATAGATTAAGGTCCAGTTGCAGAAACAGTTAATTCTAATTAGTTTAAGCAAGAGAAGACTTTTTAAATGACATGCTAATCTGAACTTAGAGTTGTTGAGAACTGAGAGAGCTTTGAGGAATCACTCCCAATGCGACACTGCAGAACTGGGTCAACCAGGAGAGCTGCTTCCTCTTCTAAGTTCAGGAAACCACTCACTCCCAAGTATACCAATATTGAGAGGGTCCAGATAGTGCCGTAATCAGGAAGCCACACTACCACTGCTGGTTCTCTGCAACACTTGTCAGGCCTGCTACGATCTACCCCCAGTTAGTTGCTTTGTACCATTCCTCTTGCCACTTAAGAACCTCAGAAAAGGCACTTCCATGACCCTGCTTGCTTGCATTAGCACAGCCTGCATCTCACACCTGCCTTCTCTAGGTGCATCAACTTGGCCAAAACTAAATCATCCAGACCCCTAGCTGCAAGAAAGTCAGAAATACAGCTTCTAGCTTTCTCTCTAATTTGTTGCAGGAGGACACACTAGGAGTGTGGAATGAAAGTTCAGCGTTGAGTTAGCCCCTGCACCTGCACCTGTAAGCTTCTCTGAGACCAGGGACTCCATCCAGCTTTGGGCTACAAAGAAAACATAGCCACTGTCATTATTCACAGGTTCACTCTGATCACCTGTCATTTGGGGTTTCGGCTTAAATTAACCTGTTCACCCTTCATTTAAAGTAAAAACAAAAAAAAAACATAGTTACTTGAGTTTATAATTCATAGTTACTTTCACAGTTCTACAATCAATCTGGAATTCATTTGTGAGGTAGAGATCAAGAAGTATTTTTTCGGCTTTCTCCCATATGGATATTCAGTTGGTACTGCAGTATTCATTTAAAAGACTTCTTTCCTGCATTGTAATTCAGGTGAACAATCCATTGGTGTATTTCTCTAGCTTTGCCAATATCACAGTTTTAATTACTGTAGCTTTATAATAAGATTTTATATCTATAGTGCAAGTCCAACTTTGTAATCCCTCCAAATTGGCTTGGCTATTCTTGACCCTTTGCATTTCCATATAATTTTTTTTTTTTTTTTTAAGACTAAATTTCACTCTTGTTGCCCAGGCTGGAGTATAGTGGCACAATCTTGGCTCACTGCAACCTCCGCCTCCCAGGTTCAAGCAATTCTCCTGCCTCAACCTCCTGAGGAGTTGGGACTACAGGTGCCCATCACCATGCCCGGCTAATTGTTGTATTTTTAGTAGAGACAGGGTTTCACCATGTTGGCCAGCCTGGTCTTGAACTTCTGACATCAGGTGATCCACCCGCCTTGGCCTCCCAAAGTGCTGGGATTACAGGCATGAGCCACTGCGCCTGGCTGCATTCCCATATAAATTTAAAAACAATCTACTGAAAGATGTGTAAGACCTCCACCAAGAAAACTATAAGACATTTAGAGAAGTTTAAAAAGACCTAAATAAATAGAATTTTTTTTAAAATAAATGATTTTTAAACTTGATCATTAGGTTAATAAATAGTCGTATTCTGACAATCTGATGAGATTATATTGCCCAGGGTGGTCTCTAACTCCTAGCCTCAAGCAGTTTTACTCTCTCATTACAGGTGTAGGCCACCATGCCTGGCCTGACACTTGGAAATCTTAATCATAATTGTTCTTTGCTTTTATAATGTTTACTGTTCAAATCAATTTCTGGTTGGATAGTATGTATATATAAAGCCATGCTCAATGCCCTAGATATATTTACTGCCAAATCTTTATGCTTTTAGTGTTTTTTTCTGGACAAGATCTATGGTTATTGCAATAAATTAAATGCAAAGAATATTCTAGTAGAAAGTCAGTCTGCACTTCCTAAACCCCACCCCATCCTACCCCACCAATTCCTTCATAATTGTTATTAACAGTTAGCTGTGTTTTCTAATGGATTCTCTCCAAAGTATATGTAACTCAGATTTTTGTGAGGTAGGAAAAAACATTAATTCCACTTTACATATTGCAAGTCTAACACACAAAGAGATTAAATGTCTCCTTTCTTTTGCCAAATGTTAATGAATTGTCTTATGAGAATTAAGATATGATACTTTCTCCCAAGCTATCCTGTTTCCCATGAAGTATTTGAGATGTTGGAGATTCAAGGGAAAAAATATAAATGCTTAGAAATAAATTGTATAATTCAAAGATTGTGAATAAAGTGACACTTATATGTTAATCCTATAAATTGGTTTATTGTACCATGTAGGATGGTTTGGCTATTAAATTTAGTTAAGTAGTTCATTTGCCTGGATAACTGTGAGTGTAGAATCTAACATTCACTTAGACTAGTTGTTTAAGAAAGTCTACAACCAACCAGGCGCAGTGGCTCACACCTATAATCCCAGCACTTTGGGAGGCCAAGGCGGGCAGATCACGAGGTCAGGAAATCGAGACCACCCTGGCTAATACAGTAAAACCCCATTTTTACTAAAAATACAAAAAATTAGCCAGGTGTGGTGGCGGGTGCCTGTAGTCCCAGCTCCTCAGGAAGCTGAGGGGGGAGAATGGCGTGAACCCAAGAGGCGGAGCTTGCAGTGAGCCGAGATCACCCCACTGCACTCCAGCCTGGGCAACAGAGCAAGACTCCATCTGGAGAAAAAAAAAAAAAGTCTACAACCAAATAACGTGGCAGAAATGTAATATGGACCCAGCTGGGTAAAAGGAAATATTTTGGATCTTCCTTCTACTTAGGCTGAATGGATGCTTCTGGTTTGGTTTAGTTTGTTTTGAGATGAAATCTTGCTCTGTTGCCAGGCTGGAGTGCAGTGGTGCGATCTCGGCTTATTGCAACCTCCACCTCCCGGGTTCAAGCAGTTCTCCTGCCTCAGCCTCCCGAGTAGCTGGGATTACAGGCGCCTGCCACCATGCCCAGCTAATTTTTGCATTTTTAGTAGAGACGGGGTTTCACCATGTTGGCCCAGGCTGGTCTTGAACTCCTGACCTCGTCATCCACCCACCTCGGCCTCCCAAAGTACTGAGATTACAGGCATGAGCCACTGTGCCCAGCCTGAATGGATGTTTCTTAGATTTACTCACTTCTGGCCAAGGTGTCATTCGTGGTGGTTGATGTAAGTTCTGTGCTATGTGCAACACATTTGCCAACTCCTGAGGCCTAATTCTTATTCAAAATATGTCAGTTAATCACAAGAGGGGCCATCTTAGAGTGGGCATAAAGGAGGTCAAAACTAGAAAAGAAAAAAAAATGTTTCCACTATATTATTAACCTCAAGATCTTGAAATTAAGATGTTTCAAGGTTAAAACTTAACTTTCACCTTTACAAAAAGTATCCTATTCTCAACTCTACAAGGTATTACCAACTATAGGTATTAACATCCCTACTTTATGATGGGACAATTTTAAATGTGTAGGCCAGGCACAGTGGCTCACGCCTGTTATCTCAGCACTTTGGGAGGCCAAGGCCAGTGGTCACTTAGGTAGTTCAAGAGCAGCCATGGGCAACATGGCAAAACTCTGTTTCTACCAAAATACAAAAAAGTAGCCAGGCATGGTGGCATGCACCTGTGGTCTCAGCTACTTGGGAGGCTGAGGCGGGAGGATTGCTGGAGCCCAGGAAGTTGAGGCTGCAGTGAGCCATGATGGTGCCACTGCAATCCAGCCTGGGTGACAGAGAGACTGTCTCAATAAATAAAATACATAATATTCTGTTCTAGGGTACACAGCTGTAAACCTCAATTTTCTAGATGGAATGTGAAGGTAAACTAACTTACAGCTGAAATAAAAAACAGTCATGAATTTGCATCCTGACTTACTTTACTGGGCATTAGTGTATTTCACATATTGTAATCTATTATTTAGGGGGGGAAACTTTGCTTTCACTGTCATGGTAGGGAAAAAATGTCTTGGTTTTTTAAACTTTATAGTATGAACTCATTGTGCATTTATAGTAGGCAGAAATATAGATATAAATGAACATTTTATCAATACAAAATAACACAAATACAATAATAGGTGTCATTTTTTACTGGACTGAAAGCCTCTAGCTGACTACACTTCATAAAGGAAACATTAAATGAATTATGAGCTTTATGAACACTATTATTTTTCCTTTATGATAATGTCATTTAACAGAAACTTTATTCACTAAAATTCATCTGTAGACATTGTTCAGTTGGATATATATAATATGTTGTAGTCATTTCATAATATTCAGAAACTAATATTTGCTACTATAGAAATTTTTATTTTTCCTTTTTACACCATATATACATAACATCCTATGTCAACTACAGCTCACTTCTATGGTTCTGACTATTCAACAAGAATTCCTAGGTCCTGTATACCATATTGTTATTCTTTTTTTTT